CTTTACGTCATTTAAATAGCAAATGCGCTTATGGCGCGACACAACTGGCTCTTAAAGGGAATAGGAGATGAGACTCTGATTGGTTTATTCTCAAAACACACCTATAACTCATTAAGAAAATAAAACTCAATCCTTTTAGAACATGCGCCACTGCGCAAAGCGAATTTTTCCATCCTTAAATTAGCAAAAGTGGATTCAGACACGCCCTGAAAGCGTTTGCGCCCTGCACTTTGCACTTTGCGCATGGACCGTCAAAATAGAGCTCTAAGAGACAATAAATTTGTGTTTTGGTGCTAAATGATCCTTTAATAAAGTTGTTTATGGTAGCGAATGATTCTTATTATAAATGCCTTGTTTCACACAAAATAGCAATGCCAAAATAATTTTTTAATCATAGTGAATGTCAATTTCAACATTTATTAAATTAAAATCAAATTTAGTTCTGTAATTTTGCCATCATAGGTTTAACAATGGACATTTGCTAACTAATGTCAACAGAGATGAATAAATACTGTAAAATTGCATCGTCGTTTAGTTCAAATTAGTAATACTTGCAAATGGGACCCTATAATAAACTCTTATCTAGACATTTGAATTGTTAAAATATACAAGATAAATGCTTATTAGTCAGTTCTGACTTTCTGAAATCACATAGGCTCATAATGCGAGAAACATCTGTGGTAGAAGTCAAGATTGTGTGTAATTTACCCAGTAACAACACATCATTTACTCACCATCATGTCACCCACGTGACTTTCTTTCTTTAGCAGATCACATGAAGGAGATGTTTAGCAGAATGTACAGCTCCTTTTATACTGTGAAAGAAAAATCTGTATTATCTGCAGATCATCTTGCCTTGTTTGCTTGTGAAAATAATTAGAATTTAATATTTTGAAAGTTTAATTTCTGCAGAAAGAAAGTCGTACAGGTGTAAAACAACATGGTAGTTAGTAAATGATGGCTACTATTCATTTTTGGGTAAAATGTCATTAGTGAATCTTGTGCTACTGACCCAATCACTACTGACCATGAAGCATCATGGATCTAAAGCACAGGTGTCAAACTCAGTTCCTGGAGGGCCGCAGCTCTGCACAGTTTAGTTCCAACCCTAATTAAACACACCTGATCAAACTAATTGAGTCCTTCAGGCTTGTTTGAAACCTACAGGTAAGTGTGTTGGAGCAGGGTTGGAACTAAACTGTGCAGGGCTTCTGCCCTCCAGGAATTGAGTTTGACACCCCTGATCTAAAGTGATGTGTCCAGTTTTATGCATAAACTTGTTGTAACACTTTACTTGAAGGGGTGTTTAAAAGTCATGACAAAAGCTATGAATGTGAATGAGATTTTATGCATGCTTATGTCAACTGTTATAAAGTGACATTCACTCAGTGATAGGGGTGTCACGATTTCAATTTTTAATCGATCGAAATTTATGCTCAATTTCGATTATCGAATCAAAAAATAGAATCGTCGATGCTGCCACGCCCTCATGTCACGTCAGCTTGGCTTGCCAAGCGGGAAAAAAACAGGCTTGTTGAAGTGCTTGTTAAACTGCAGAAGCAGGAGACCCGTCGACAGAACTTAAACCCTCTCCTCTTTCAATGACGTTGCCGGTGTGTAAGCATTTTGGATTTCCAGTGAGTTATGTTGACAACGTTTGTGTTGTCGACAAAAAAAACACAGTTATGCAAACTCTGCTATGTACGTATTACGTACGGTTCGTCCGATAGACAACACCGGCATCGCGATCCTCCGCCCGCCCCCGTTGCAAATCCGCTCGCGAAAAGTACACACTCAGGCCCTGTTTATGTAACAGGTATGAAAATTATAATTCGCTTCAAGTATAGAATCACACAAAATATGTATTTTATCTAATGTGTTAGTAAGTATACCTGAGGTGTTTGTTAGTGTGTGTCTTCTCCTTTAAATGTCTAAGGGAGCTCACGCTGTTTAATTTCCTGTTTTGCGCCCACCTCTTCCCTTTCTGCACTGACTATGCATGGGAGAGGTGGGTGTCTGCTAAGCTCCAATTAATCTTTAATCATCTTTACTTTATAAATAACTTTTAAAGCTGGTTTTCATGTTTAAATAATATTTATACCTTTATTTTTCACATATATTTCATTATTTTTGTGTTATCACTTAAATTGAGGTTTTGATTAACTTTAGCCTAACTGAAGCATGTGAATGCTAAATGCATTGCACTTTACTTTTAACAGAAAAGCTGTAAGGGCGAAGACACACTGTAAAAGCTGTGCTTTTTGATTTGTTCTCAGTGAGTAAAGAGCCGTCACAACTGCAGATCTCCGACTGGTTATTCCTTAATAAAACAAAGAAAACACAACGCAGAACCGGTTACATTTACACTATCTTTGATTTTAAATGGCATTTTAGAACGACAACGATTTGACATTCACAGTGGCGTGTAGCATTTCTGAGCAGCCCTCCTTCCTCTCTACCTCTGGAAATGCACATCACGTGACCACACAGACACAGACGCACACACAGCCATGCGCTCCAGACAGCAGGTCCAGGCAGTCAGAGGACTGCTTCAATCTTTCACTCACTTGTACTTCGTCATTTTAGCGAACACCTCAGATACTGTTGGCTGGTTCCTGTTGGTTGTGCGTCTTTTTTACCGACGCCATTATAACGACACAGATCACTGCCTATTCACGAGTCCCGCAGAAAAAGTGACTGACAGGTGGTAATTATGTGTGTATCTTGCCTTTATTCATTTACTGTATGATTTGTTTATGGGTAAAGCAAAGACCATGCAGGTCAGGTAGTTTAAACGGTAGGCTACTAATAATTAATTGGTCGGTAATTAATTAATTATTCATAATCGAAAATCGAATCGAATCGTGCCTTTAGAATCGAAAATGTAATCGAATCGAGAATTTGGAGGATCGTGACACCCTTACTCAGTGATGACGTTTTAAATAGGGGATTTAGTATGATCTAGGGGCCCACGGCATTTCGTGGCTCGCTTTTCAATTTCGTCTGCGGCACCCAAGAAATGCTTTCATAGGGCCTGTACCAGTTAGCGGCAATCCTGAATGCACAATACCTAGACCTTCCTAGTACAGGCGATAACAATTATTTATTCACATTAAATAAATAAATGCAACAATAAATGCATAAAATGCAGACATACATCATAATTTAATATTGTCGCTTATTTAGAAATATACACAGGTGTACTGGTACAGGTGTACACAAACTGTCCTCGCGATCCGCCATCTCACTATATAAATAAATATATAATAATAATTTGTTTTATTTATATAGCGCTTTTCTGGGCACTCAAATCGCTTTACACCACCAGTGTGCAGCATCAACCTGGATGACATGACAGCAGCCATTTTATGCCAGACCGCACACCACACACCAGCTGATCGGTGGAGAGGAGAGGATAATATGCCAATAATGATATGAGGAGGATTAGGAGACCATGATGGACAGAGGCCAGTGGGCAGATTTGGCCAGGATGCCGGGGTTAACCCCTACTCTTTTTCAAAGGACATCCTGGGATTTTTAACGACCACAGAGAGTCGGGCCTCAGTTTAACGTCTCATCCGAAAGACGACGCTCACTGAGCAGTATAGAGTCCCCGTCACTATACTGGGGCATTAGGACCCACACAGACCGCAGGTTGGGCGCCCCCTGCTGGTCTCACTAACACCACTTCCGGCAGCAACCTAGCTTTCCCATGTGGTCTCCCATCCAGGTACTGACCGGGCGCAGCCCTGCTTAGCTTCAGTGGGCGACCATGTGAGAGTTGCAGAGAGCTAGCTGCCGGCATAAACAAATAAACTCTGCTTGCCTTAGTTTACACAGGACTGGCGGGAAATATGCATTAATACAGCTTTAATATACTTGGTATGTGGTTTATTTTAATAGGTTAACTGTTTTTGTGCTGTTTATTACTCCTTAGCGCAATTAGAGAGCGATCAAATCACATATACGCTTCTTTCACTGACATCTTTCAGTGGATTTTTCCCGGGTTTTTGTTCATCTTTTCGATTCAAATATGGTTTCCCAGCATCCCTCAAATCAATGGTTTCCCAGCATCGCCTTCCTTACTCTGTCCTTCTATTTGTTCATGTCTGCTCTCCTTTTTTTATCAAGGATTTGCCTTTTAATGTCCAAAGCAGACATGACAGGCATTTTTATTCTTCTTAGTGGACATAATCTTGCGCGAAAATATCCCCAAACTGCTTCTGTAAGCAAATTTCACACGTATAAATAATCTCTTATGGTCATTTATTCATTGTTTTTGCTTAGTCCCTTTATTAATCAGAATATATAACAGATAACTCGCATTTAAGGCAACATGATAATGCGAAATGTCATTCATTTATTAATTTTCTTTTCGATTTCGTCCCTTTTTAATGAACCGCCAACTTATCCAGCACATTTTACACAGCGGATGCCTTTCCAGCCGCAACCTAACACTGGGAAACACCCACACACTCTTGCGCACACTCACATGCAGTACGGCCAGTTTAGCGTATCCATTTCACCTGTACCACATGTGTTTGGACTGTGGGGGAAACCGGAGCACCCGGAGGAAACCCACACCAACATGCGCCCAACACGTCAAGTAAAGTGTTTCAGAATTGTTTTATATAACGAAATGCCTAAAATGTCTGTTTTACAGCTTGCATCAAGATTTGCATCTTTTTAATTTTGTGCAATAGTTTGACCTTGCTGGTGACTTTGAAATGACCCAATCCAAGACGCATCTGAAGTTTGATTTTATTTATTTTTTTGGTGACCTTTTAATCAAGTCTTGCATTTTCTCTTATTTTAGGGCTGCATTGGATATACTGATTCACTGTGCTGAGTTTAGCATGTTTGTAGGTGCTTTTTGGCTGAATATGTGTCCGTACGTGATCCCTGACGTAATGTGTTGTCAGTTTTCATGTTTCACTGAATCTTTAGCTTTAATTCATGTGGTTTTTCTTGCTTTTCTGCCTGTTTTGTTTCTCTCTCAGGTATATCCCGCCCCCGCTCTGACAGTGCTCCGCCCACTCCTGTCAATAGGCTCAGTATGCCACCGCCCCCAACAACAACCAACACAACACCGCCTCACAACCGCAGGCACCGCCCCACTGCTGTTGCCAAGACAACCAGCAAATCCTCAACGGTATGACATCATAAAGAGTTACATACAACAAACTCTCTCTCCTTCTGACATAATAAATCAAGGTGATGCGTTCAATAATAAAAGAAAAGGGATAAAAGAAAAGTAAGGAGCCTAATGCAGCCTAATGTAATCGTCTGCAGTCACATATCGACACCTGTCTATCGGCAATACGAGTCCCTGGTAACCAGATCTATGATTGGGTCTCACTGTTATTTGTGGGTCGTTTGCATCGTGCTACTTGCGTTGTATTTCCATTACCTCACGCAATGAACATTACATATATTTCTATATGTTGTAAAAGTAGCCAAAACAAATAACAACACAGTGTTTCTGTTTTCAACAACAGCACAGCAGATAACAGTAAGTCTAATTATTATTACTATTCATTACTGATTGAATTATTTTCTTCTTATTATTATTATTTTTTTATATATTGTGTTCCTCTTATTTTGTGTTAAAAAATCCCAAATCCTCTCAAATCTCTTTATTTTTAGTAGGTGTCTTCAGAAACATGTGTTGTGCTGGTTGAAAGTCTCTTCACAGTCTAATAGTAATGATTACAGTAAATGATCTAAATGTATTTATATGTATTTTTATATTCAGGGTAAGGCATAAAACTAAAAAATGTTCATCCAATTAAATCGAGTCGGACCGTCATCTCCCTTAATTCCGATAAGTAACCCAATCTGTCTGTCAACAAATGCAGATTTGGGCTTTTGCGCATCTCTGATCACGCATATCCGCCATTAGCGTGTGCATGCCTGCCGCTTGTGCACGCCTAGATGAGCAACACGTGCACGCGAGACTGTCACAGTTGCGGCAAAATCAAACGCTGAATTGAAACTTTTTAAACTCCTGAATCAGTATTGGAGTTACTTTTGTACGCTGGAGGAAAGACGACACCACACCATGGCTGAAGTATTTCTGTTAGAGAGGTCATGTTCTGTTTTAAAACTATATCAGTCACGCAGAGCTCATGTAGAGTGTATTGTGTTATGAATGGATTATACACACAGACGTATTGTTCAGCCACTGAAATCTCCCGGTGGAAGCTAGATGTTAGAGGTCTGCATTGTTAGAGGGCGCCGCGGGACCCGACCAGATTTCTGCGGTGGGTGAATAAATTTCCGATTAAATCGCGGGAGCGGTCGATAACGGGTTTAATTTGGGATGGGAGTGGGCTGTCTAGCAATATCGCTCTCGACTCCCGAGCGAGCACGTGAATATATGTGTGTAAATGAAATAGCGCGATGCTGTGTTTAGCTTGTTTTTTGCTGTGTGTGTGTGTGTGTGTATGTGTTCGCACGTGCGAATGAGAGGTGTGTGTGTGTGCTGTGTGTGTGTGTGTGTGTGTGTGTGTGTGTGTGTGTGTGCGTGTTTATACAGACAGTTTGTTATAGGCTGTCTGGACTGTATAGCTGGGTGATTTTCTGTTTTGTTCTCCCACTGCTCTTTAGCGGGATCATGCGCGGCGGGTAGAAAACGGGGCGGGGCGGGGCGGGCAGCGGGACAACAAATGCTTAATATAAGCGGGAGCGGTCGGGTTCGGGCTAAAACCTGGCGGGTGCGGGCGGGAGCGGGATTCAAAATTTAGTCCCGCGCAGATCTCTACTAGATGTGACTATTACAGCATCGATGATGTAGATTTATATTTGGTTTAACAACAAAACATCAGTAAATAGCACTATTCCGCCTAGCCTGCTTGCTGAGCTGAAGTTGCTTTTATATTCACATTGGGTCATTTCTGAACAATGACAGCTCCTGATATTGTTTACCGCTGCTCTGAATATTCAGTCTGACCTGGCATGTAAGTGTGGATCAGTGATTAGTGAAATTCCTGGACGCTGCCCGGCCAACCACTACATACACTTCTAACTGGCGAATGAACTGGGTTGTCTGCTGTTGTGTCGCAGTGGGCGCGCTCGTGATTTGAAGAGGCGTGGCTTTGAAACGCAGCCCCTCCCTGCCATCCAAAGCTAATATGCTATCCGATTAGCATTTTGGCAGATCACCTACTGCACCTTAAAGTAAGATGAAAGAATAAACAAATTGGAAATGAATAATTAATAGTATAATATATTTCTTGTGGTAAACCTAATGCGGCCCAGCCTCACCCAGGCCCTCAGGTACATTGAGTTTGAGACCCCTGCTCTAGAGACAGCGGAGACTTGCTTTTCATCTTGTAAAACGGAGGAATAATATGTCCCCTTTAAAACAGAATGCATTTCATGTTAAGAAAATGACAATTTCAATCTTTCTCCACAGACTGGGCAGACCAGAGTATCGCATCAGCCTTCGTCCACATCTCCTCTCTCCAGCCCAAACCAGACGAGCTCCGAGCCCCGTCCGCTCCCGGCTCCGACCCGGCCCAAAGTCAACAGCGTGTTAAATCTGTTCGGCCAGTGGCTGTTTGACGCTGCGCTGGTCCACTGTAAACTGCACTCCGGCCTGAGCAGAGACAGCAGCATGACTGGTAAGAGCATAGCACACGCTTTAATCAACGCTGTGATCACTCCTTTTCCTTTGGTTTTCATCACTCTACTTATTTTACCTGTTGACGTTCTGATTGTTTTCTTTAATTTCTCAAAAATATTCCTACCTGCAAGATTGTAGCACATTTAGGATACACTAATATAGACACTGTGTTTAGGATCCACTAATATAGACGCTGTGAAAATATCTTAAGAGATTTTATATATTGGTAAGAATTATTGGATGTGTAGTAGGGTTGGGTCGATAGACAATGGCATTGTCCATCACCGATGGCCGATAGACATCACGATGCTGAGCCGGCATCTCAATCTTCAGCACCGCCCCCATCACAGCAGCAACCCGCTCGCGAAAAACACACACTGGGGTCCCGTTTTTACACCAATAGGTCTAAATCGATCCACATCCAAACTGGCGTTCATCTAGCAATTCTGGAGAGCCCTCCTTCCACACTGTACCGCTGAAACTGCATGTGACCGCGCACACACACACTCTGTCATGCGCTGAAGTGTAGGCTGTCTGACACTGAGCTCCAGGAGTCACCCCAGAGAGCAGTACACGTCGGTCAGTTTTTCAAGGATGTACCGCTGGATGGCGTCTCACTATAGTTGTTAAAGGTGATTTTTAATTCATCTTGTCTCTATTTAACAACTCCTCTGTCTTTTGAATCTATCAGGTAACATGTCACAGCGTCAGTAAACTGCTTTAATCTTTCGCTTCACGCTTGTACTTAGTCATGAAAACCTCAATACTGTTGGTTAGTTGCTGTTGGTTTTGCACCTTTTTTACTAACCAAGTTTGTGGACGCCATTATAACCACACGGATCACTCTGCATATTCATGCCAGAGTCCTGCGGAAATGTGATTGACAGGTGGCCATTTGTGTCTAACTTATCTTTATTTATTCATGATTTGGTTATGGGTAAAACAAAGAGCATGGGGGTCAGCTAGTTGAAACGGTAGGCTACAAATAATTCAATAATTAATTAATCATTCATTAATAAATGATTCACCGCAGTCTACAACGACGATGCCATCGTCTATCGCAATGTTTCACATTAGACATCGCACGATGCCAAATTGGTCAGCGTCGCCCAACCCTAATGTGAAGTAAACATCCTAGAAATTGTACACTGATAGAAATATTGAAGCCTTGTTTCTTCTACAATCTAATAACAGCATCATGTATTTTTGTAGCACAAGCAGTTGATTATGGTGCTTATAACACCAAGGTTATGGATCTAGTTCACTTTATTAAATTATAAAATATTAAGGAATTTAAAGTGTCTGCCAAATGCATACATTTATATTATATATATCACACGAGCAACAGTGCGATATGGCTGTATATCGGGACTGGTGGGACACACTCCTCCCACCAGTGCCAATTTACAGCCATATTACACTACTACCAGTGTGATCTTGCGTGTATACAACAGTTTGACGGCATAATTGCGTATATAAAAACAAAATCAAACATGAAAAGTCTCAAAACCCCTTTTGTATGAGGAACTACTTTCTTCCGCGTTGGATTCAAATCATAAGCTGACAGTTAAACAGCTGAGCGAGCATCTTTTAAACTGTAGATCTGTAGTGTCTGCTTTTTGCTGGCTGTATGTGGGCGGAGTAATACACAAAGGGTGATGAGGCTGTACAGGTGCTGATATTACTTAAATATATCATGGCTATCAGCCAATAAGATTCGAGAACCAGACAGAACTGTTGTATTATATATATATATATATATATATATATATATATATATATATATATATATATATATATGGGTCAAAGATAAAACAAACAAAATATCTGTAAACTATATTCTGTACATAATATAATATAATATAATATAATATAATATAATATAATAAAAGTTAGAATACCTATTTTGCATTTTGACAATTTATATTCACAAACATTAAAGGTGCTGTATGTCAGTTTTTGACTCTTCTAAAGCATAAAAATACCAGAATAAATTATTTCAGATATTCAGAGACATGCTCAGTGAACATTCTTGTTTATCTGAGAAACAATGCTGAAGTCAGATATTCTGCTTTGAACATGTGCGTTACGTGCCAGAACAGCAGTCTTTGTTTTGGTCTCTTTAACCCACCCAATGCCAGTTTAGCCAATTATTATTCAGCGCCCCAGGTTGCCTTGGTGGAAAACAGCATATTTTGTTCATTCAGTCAGAAAGGCTCTCATAGCATGCGTCCGTGACCGAAATGTGACCTCCGGTGGACAGTAGCAGACTACCAAAATGAGACGCAGATTCAGAGTTCCACATGATTAGATTAGATTAGATTCAACGTTACTGTCATTACACATGTACAGGCAACGAAATGCAGTTTTGGTCTGACCAGCAGTGCAATAGCAGCATGTGCAGAATATAGGTATAAGTTATAAAGTGCAGTTATAAAAAAAACTATGTGATATTTACAGATGGATGTACTATGAACATTATATACAGGTTGTGTGAGATTAACAATATATGAACATATGTACAGGTTGCTATTAATAATCAGAAGTGTACAGATAGATATATGTACAGTGGGTATCTACAATTCTAAATTAATTGAATGAATTACTGCAGTGATTATGGGGAGTGTAAGTTATGAGGAGAGTGTGGGGGTGTATGAGGGACAAAAGAGTCAGTGGAGGGCAGAGTTCAAAAGGTTGAGGTTATTGGTTAGCAAATAACATAAATATTACGAGCGTAAACATTAGGTGAGCAGGTTACATTTTAACCCTGTGTCCTAACATCACTTCATGTGATGAGATTTGCTGTGATGAGCAATTTGGTTGTTTGCAGCAGACGCGACAGAAATGTCAGTGCAGCCATTTAGAAATGCAAAATAGTGCACTCACTGCACCCCAACAAAAAGGTCAGGTTTATAGTCTAATGAATACAAATTAAACCTCTTTAACATGATTAATTGTAGATGCTGAATCACTGATATACGAAGAGTCACAGTTCTGAAGCTCAATTCCAAGCGGTTTATTTTATTTTCCAGATCTGTGGTGAACTATCTGCTGCTGCTTTCAGTGATATGGCAATAAATGTTATGTGAAATGGTGTTCAAACTCACATTATTAGCATTTAACACTGAATAAAGCACATGAGGTGCACCTGAGCTGATCACAGTTTATCCTGTTGTTCAACTGCAAGTAACAGAAGCCGTTTCTAAAATATAAATTTCAGGTGTTGGTCCGGACAAAAACTCATTTTAATATGGAAAATATTCCTTTTATTGCGTGCCATTGCTTTTATTAGGCAAGGTAAGGCAAGTTTATTTATATAGCACATTTCATACACAGTGGCAATTCAAAGTGCTTTACATAAACAGGAATAAAAAAATCTTATTAAGAACCCAATTTAAATCAGCCTTTTTTTGATGTGGTCAATCTGGCAACCTGTGCTTGCACGTGCTTTGAACCGGGAGTGCAATACCCAGTTCAACCACTGGGTGTCAAACCTACATACTGCACCTTTAAATTTAAACACTTTATTCCAATGTCCTGTCTATGTGTATAAAATGACTTTTCTAAAATTGAATTTGATATGGACGCCACCATCTCGTCTTTGACCCATTTGTAAATTGGCTAAAATTAAATGAATACAATATGTAATATTTTATTGACAATAGCCCCTTTCACACAGTGATACCGGTAAATATCTGGAAAATTTCCGGAACGACTTTACCGGTATATTCAAAAAAGTGCTGTTCACACAGACGAGGACGTTACGGAAATTTTCCAGAAAAGAGCATTCACACATCCATTCCAAAATACCGGTAAATTCTGACATCATTCACCACAAATGAGCTTTAAACGGCTGCGCTTGTATTTGTAAACATTTGACTAAATTACAAACTCTGGATGATCAATATTGTGAACAACTTTCGCAGGATCACTTTCGCATGTCGAGATGTTCATAATATGTGCGTGTGCAGGCGCTCACAGGCTGAAGCTTGAAGGTAAACAAACATAAGCATCTCATCGATGATTATTTACACAGTTGGCATAAAGAAGAACATATAAACGTGATCTGACTAACTTCTAGCAGTTAAATGTGTCTGGAAAAATATTCAAAGGTTTTTATTCTCACAAATCGCGCGGATGTAAATGCGTCTGACTGTTCTGATTGGCTAAAGCAGACGTCTCACGTCAGCACGTTCTAGACGTGCACGCGCTTATTACGGCAATCTTCCTTCTGCGTTCACACAGCGCAGCATTCCGGCAAATTGCCGGTAATGTTACAACTTCTCTTTCCGGAAAATAGCCAGAACGAATTTACCGGTATTTTCAAAAAGGACCTGTTCACACATACAACCTTTCCGGAAAGGTCTCTATGTGTGAAAGGGGCTAATGAAAAGCTTGCGTAATCCATTGATAGAGCTATTAACATACACCTTTATGGAATATAAATGTTATCAGTTGATATCGGTCTATCACAGTTTTTACATGCCTTATTGAAGTAGATTTATGATGTGGTAACTTTAGTCTCCAAAATAGGACAGTCATTTAGAGCAGATGGATAGTTCTTATGTAAGAATAAACGTCTAACAAACATGCGTTTATTTATACACAAATATCTGCACAGTAATGAAAACCAATGTTGTGTAGTGAATTGATTGAAAGTTTTCTGTGGAATTACATGCATCTTTTCTTTTCTTTACTTGCATTGTTTTTGTTCATCTTTCATTTCTGCATGATGATCTATTTTTAATGGTTTACCTGTGTCTTTAAAACCAAACCACCAGAAAAAAACAACAACAACAACTTCTGAATAGTTTACTGAACTCTACTACTGCTGTTCTTTGATTTGTTTCCATTTTATCTCTGTTATCTTGCAGCAACATTTTTCCAAATTCTTCTTTCTTATAAATCTTGTAAGTAGGAACACAAGCTTTACCAGTTGCAGTTATTTGGTTCATTTCAGTTTGTTTTCTTCTTTTTCGTTGACACTGTCACTCGTTCATTGTTGCAGTACTTGTTTTTTTGGGGCAAGAGACTTGCGCATACACTGCTTGAGTTAAAGGTCCGAGGAGTCTTTTGACTGCTGCCCAAATCTCATTGGCTCAAATGCGACAAATATTCAGGATCCTGAGGCGGGATGTTGGTCGAGTACACTGTAAAAAATAAATAATATTACCAAAAGCCATCACAACACAAGCTTTTATGATACTTATGTAATTTATTCTTATGAGTGAAGTTTATTTATAAAGTAATTTCAAGAGGATCACATGCTTATGATTGTCCTCAGCTGCTTATCATGCATCAGCTCATGATTGATTCTCCAATCAGATGATTCCTAACCCACTATAAATAACCAGAGTTTTCTTATCTCAATATCTTCGTCTTGAAGAATACCCCCTACTCCCCCTTCTCTCCATATGGGCGACAGGCCGGCCCAGTGATTATTACTGTTGCCTGTTACGTTCCTTCCCCTTTTTGTCCAGGGTTGGGAAAGGAAAACAAAGAAAATTTTTGAAGAAAATCAAAGAAGACCAAATTAATGAATTGTGTATAGGTTAACTAAACAAAAATTGAGGGAACACTTCAATCCTCTGCTTCAGAAGTGTGAAACAACCACAAGAGAACTTTTGTTCTCATTCAATAAACAATAAATGAAGCGTAAGTCTTCAGGAGAACGATTAACTAACAACAACAACCAAAACAGATCTAGCTTAGGAGTACTAAATTACCTAGTGCAGGTTAAAGTAAAGAAATAAAACAACAAAGGCTTTCCTCAACTCCCTTACTATGAATAAACAGTCAAACAAGTACAAAAATAAAAATAGCACCCTCTAACCTACAGCTTCATTTCGTAAATCAAAAAAGTCAGACAAAGAAACAATACAATTACCTTTTATATACCACACAAAAAAACATCGTGTCACAGATGTTTTCACACTGCTTGACTATCTGGCTTGCATTTCGTCGCTGCTTTGTTTACACTGCAAGATGGTTCGGCGACAGAGACTTTCACATTGCATGACTTTACTATAGAAAGAATCGCCGACAACTTCGTCCAAACTACGTCTCACAGCCAAAAACACGTAGTATATCTTTTGTTATTAACTAAGTTCCACAACACAAGAGAAACTCCCAAGTTTCTTCAAAGACGGAAGTTAAATTGAACCCAATAGCTTAATAAACTTCTCTTAATATACAACAAAGTATGCAACAACCACAAGTCTGGAGCAGGGGATAAGTGAACCTCTACTTGGGTTGAGGTACACTGCTCTTTTGTCGCAGCATGTTACTGCAGCACACTCCAACGATGAGCACCACCGGGGCCCAATCAGCTCCACCTAGCGAGCAGGCAGACACATTGGAAGAGTAAAGCTGCGGTCACACTAGAGTTTGTGTGTGCGAAATTCTGTCATGCGGCACTGCGAAAAGAGGCGGGATTAAGCAAGCTTATTAGACGTTTATAAAAGCAAGCGATTGCTCCATGTTTTACATTTCTGTCCTGAGAGACGAGCCGAAATGGGTGCCTATGGGATGACAGAAAAAAACAAGAAGGCGAGACAAAGAAAAAGACATGCACAATATGCAATAATAAATGAATAAATACCTTCAGTCGTAACAATAGTTAACATCTACAGTTAAGGACAAAATGATTAGACCTGTGACCCGTTTCATTATTTTTAAAATATTTCCCAAAGTGCTGTTTAGCGGAGAGAAGGCTTTTCAACACATTTTCAATCGTAATAGTTTTAAGAACTCATCTCTCATCTCAGAATTTCATCTGACTGCCATGATGACAGCACATAATATTGGAGTAGCTGTTTTGCAAGATGCTAGTATTCACTAGGTATTCACTAGGTTGATTAAGTTTATTAGGCAAGTCCTGGGAGAATAGTGGTTTGTTCTGTAGACAATCTCAAAATAAATAAATAAATAAATAAATAAATATTCACTGTATAACCCAGCAGTCAGCTTTATCAAATGAATTGAGTGTGGTCAACTCAAAATTCACTGAAAGTTAAATCTACTCATTTGAAAAGAGTTTTGAGCTAATTAAATACCTAATTACTTCAACTTAAATGGAGTACGTTCACGGTACTCGTATAGATTCATTTTTTAACTTGCTTTACTCAAATGAAGTTCACAGTACTTATTTGGATTCATTTTTGAACTTAAATGGTTTGTTGCACTCGGTTTCCTCAAATATTTTGAGTTACCCTTATTTCCCAGTGTGTATATAGTTTTTTAAGGGGGCTAATAATGTTGACCATAGCAGGTTTTATTTTACATTTAAAAGAAAAAATCTTGCTCGCTTAAACATAAAAGATGTGGTTATAGAGGAGGTCAATTGGGCAAAGCAGCCACTAACCTAACGGAATGGTAGTAAATCTATCCAACACACAAGGATTAAAAACTACCATTGAAGTAATCAGGACAGGCCTCCGGTCGAGCCGCTGAGACCCTAGAATGTTTGTCGCGCTTGATCCTTCAACTTACCCACCATCATTAAAACAAGTTCCTACCCATATCATCTCCTGAAGGACCTCTACTAACTGATCTTCTCCAAAGAAACACACCAACCAATGTTCTGTTCAGTTTTTGCCCAGCGTTTATTTGACAGCTTTTGTTGATTTTTTTTTATGTTAGCGTTTGGTTGATTTCCATTTGTTCTTTTTATATATGTTTTGTATGGATATTTTCTGCATGTCGTGGTTGTTGGTGCAATTTGTTTCAGCCATATTGTGCCTTAATGTCTTAATTTAGGATGCTGGACTGTAGAAATTGGCCTTTAATCAACGTTTGTCTGACATGAAGCTCAACTGACATGCTCTGATAACAGGGAGACTGACCAGGAGATGGAGAAAAGCGTGTTCTGTTCTGCGTCAAACCGCTCATGCACTAACACGATCCAGCATGATGGTAGTTAAATATGATTTAGTAAGATCCCAACAAATAGATAAATACTGTACGTGACGGTCTAGAAGAAGAGCCATTACGTTAGCACTCGCTTCCTACTGCAAATTAAATCATCTCATGTCAAGTAAATGTAATTAAGTCATGCGGACTTCATTTTTTATTTATATAGGTACAAATGATGATTGGTATGTAAATGAGAGTTTATTATGTTAAGTAATAATAATAATAATGATAACACATTCAGTTTAAAGCACCTTTCAGGAAACTCAAGGTCTCTGTACAACATATATACACAATTATACAATTAAAAAACAATAAACCAAGAGTTTAAAATATCATAAAATCCGCATATTAGTTCTGAAGGATCTTATGACACTTATGATGCATTATGTACAGTTGAAGTCAGAATTATTAGCCCCCCTGAATTATTAGAACTCTTATTTATCTTTCCCCAATTTCTGTTTAATGGAGAGAAGATTTCTTTCAACACATTTCTAAACATAATAGTTTTAATAGCTCATTACTAATAACTGATTTATTTTATCTTTGTCATGATGATCGTTAATAATATTTGATTAGATATTTTTCAAGACACTTCTATACAGCTTAAAGTGACATGTAAAGGCTTCACTAGGGTAATTAAGTTAACTAGGCAGGTTAGGGTAATTAGGCAAGTTATTGTATAATGATGGTTTGTTCCGTAGATTATTGAGAAAAAATATAGCTTAAAGGGGCTAATAATTTTGACCCTAAAATGGTGTTTAAAAAATCAAAAACTGCTTTTATTCTAGCCGAAATGAAACAAGTAAGATTTTCTCCAGAAGAAAATACATAATCAGAAATACTGTAAAAATTTCCTTGCTCTGTTAAACATCATTTGGAAAATATTTAAAAACGAAGAAAAAAATTCGAAGGGGGCATATAATTCTGACTTCAACTGTATATGATGTATTATGATGCATTCTTAGTTAAATTTGAGGAATAAACTAGTTTTCCTAATATATACATGTAAAAAAATATTTTGAATTATAATAATATTTAATCAATTCTGTATTGAGTTATTTGTTATATGATAATATTTATTCATTTCTGTATTGAACTATTAGGTTGTAATGATATTTAATAATTTCTGTTTTGAATTATTGAATTAAAAGAATATTTAATAATTTCTGTACCGAGCCATTTAGTTGTAATAATATTTAATAATTTCTTTGTTAAATGATTTAATTGTAATCAGATTTATTAATGTCTGTGTTCAATTATTTGTAATATTATTTACTAATTTCTACATTAAATTATTTCATTGGAAAATTATTTTTAAAATTCTGTATCAAATTATTTAGTTGTAACAATATTTACTAATTTCAGGATTGAGTTATTTATTTAGTTGTAATATTATTTAATAATTTCTATACTGAGTCATTTAGTTATAATTATATTTAAGAATGTATGTAATGAATTATTTAGTTGTAGTATTATTTAATAATTTCTGTTGAGTCATTAATTGTAATAATATTTAATAATTTCTGTATTGAGTAATTTAGTTGTAATAATATTTAATAATTTCTGTATTAAGTCATTTAGTTTTAATAATATTTAATAATTTCTATATTAAGTCATTTAGTTGTAATAATATTTAATTATTTCTGTATTGATATATTTTGTTGAGTGTAGAACAATTTTTTTAAACTTTAATTTTATTTATATATATATATATATATATATATATATATATATATATATATATATATATATATATATATATATATATATAAATTATATAAATATTTAATATATTTTTTAATTATTTAATTGTAAAAATATTTAATAATTTCTTTATTGAAATATTTAGTTGTAATACTATTTAATAATTTCTTTATTGAATTAGTTGTAATTATATTTAATTTATTTATTGAAATATTTAATTGTAATACTATTTAATAATTTCTGTTGAATTATTTTGTTGAGTGTAGTACAATTTAAAAAAAATATTTATATTTATATTGTTTTGTATAAATATATATGAAAACTAAACATTTGAATTATAGGAATGTTTGTTTGTGTTAAAAATATCAAACTTTTTAAATCAATAAATTGTCGTATTCATTTTAAAGTTGCATTGCCTTTATAAATGTATTAATAAGGGTGCATATATTTGCATAAGCATACAATTAACATTACAAAATAACAGAAACAAAGATGATAAATGGGAGTTTATTATATAAGGTAATGTTTTTGATAAAAATTTTTGATTAGTGTATTAGATTCATTTCTGAAGGATTATATGACACTTAAGACTGAAGTAATAACTATGAATAATAATAAAGCCTCAATTGAATTTGAGGAATAAATGACATTTTACTAAATATTAATGTAGAGAATTGCTATTTTGAACTTCTATCATATTTCATAATTTCTGCATTAAAACATTTTGTCATGTAGGACAATTTGTTTCGTAAATTGTATTACTTTTTTTTGTTTTATTAATGTTTATATCAATAAATATTAGAGTAAAACTAAATTAGTATTTAAATAATTTAAATAATTAATATAATTATATTATTAGAATGTTTGTATTGAAAACACCCTACTTTTATAAATTAATCATTGTCCCCATGTCATATGCAATTTGCAAGTTGCATTATCTTAATAAATGTATTAATTAATGTACATATAATTGCATGAGCATACATTTAGCATCATTAAAATAAAAGTAATGCATTTTAAATGACAAAAAACCTTCCAAATAACATTGTTAGTGTTTCTAATTTAAATAAGACCTCATAGCTGCATATGTCTATTTTATTTTTGATCAAACATTTATATTTATTTTATTTCATTAATTATAGATAAAATAATCAGCATTTGTCCAATAATCTCTTTGTCGGTATTCCCTGTCATGGCCTTCAAAAGTGCACATGTGTTTCACTGAGTGTTTGTTTATCTCTCTCTCTCTCTCTCTCTCTCTCTCTCTCTCTCTCTCTCTCTCTCTCTCAGCACTGGCCACTCAAGCTGGAGTTGAACTGAGGCGTAAGGGCTCTCAGATGTCCACAGACACCATGGTCTCCAACCCCATGTTTGACGCCAATGAATTTCCTGATAATTATGAGTCGGGTCGAGCTGAAGCATGCGGGACGCTCTGCAGGATCTTCTGCAGTAAGAAAACAGGAGAGGAGATTCTTCCCGTCTACCTGTCCAGGTGATCATACTACAAATATATATATATATATATATATATATATATATATATATATATATATATATATATATATATATATATATATATATATATTTACATTTAGTCATTTAGCAGACGCTTTTACCCAAAGCGACTTACAAATGAGGACAAGGAAGCAATTTACACAACTATAAGAGCAACAATGAATAAGTGCTGTAGGCAAGTTTCAGGTCTGTATAGTCTAAGAAGGAAAGTATTTGTAATATTTTAGTAATTTAGTAAATTATTATTATTTTTTTTTATTTATTTATTTATTATTTTTTTAGTACAGTTAGTGGTATATTCAGAGAGGCAATTGCAGATTAGGAAGGAAATTGGAGACTGAATAGTTGAGTTTTTAGTCGTTTCTTGAAGACAGCGAGTGACTCTGCCGTTCTGATGCAGTTAGGGAGTTCATTCCACCAACTGGGCAGGTTGAGCATGAGAGTTCGCGAAAGTGATTTCTTCCCTCTTTGAGATGGAGCCACGAGCCGACGTTCATTCACAGAACGCAAGTTTCTGGAGGGCACATACATCTGCAGAAGTGAGAGCAGATAAGAAGGAGCAAAGCCAGAAGTGGCTTTTTAGGCAAACATCAGAGCTTTGAATTTGATGCGAGCAGCAACTGGCAGCCAGTGCAAACGGATGAGCAGCGGAGTGACATGTGCTCTTTTAGGTTCATTAAAGACCACTCGTGCTGCTGCGTTCTGAAGCAGATGAAGAGGTTTGATAGAGTTAGCTGGAAGCCCGGCTAGTAGAGAGTTGCAATAGTCCAGTGTGGAGAGAACAAGAGCTTGAACAAGGAGCTGAGCTGCATGTTCAGATAGGAAGGGTCGGACCTTTCTGATGTTATAGAGTGCAAATCTGCAAGATCGAGCAGTTCTAGAGATGTGGTCAGAGAAGTTTAGTTGGTCATCAATCGTTACTCCAAGGCTTCTCACCATTTTGGATGCAGTAATGGTTGCCCCGTCTATCTGGATTGAAAAGTTATGGTGTAGAGTTGGGTTGGCAGAAACTACAAGCATTTCCGTTTTTGCGAGGTTCAGCTGAAGATGATGATCTTTCATCCAGCGTAAAGTGTCCAACAGGCAGGCTGAGATGCGAGCTGGAACCGAGGGATCGTCAGGATGATTATATATGATATATTTATATATATATATATATATATATATATATATATATATATATAAATATAAATATACTGTATATTAAAATATTAGGTTTAGTCTACTACAACAGGTGCAAATGAACACGGTCAACTCTCTATTCATCAGACTGATTAAAGTGTCACTTACAGTTTCCACACTATCAAGCAGCAAAAACATTTCCCAACATTTATATCATTATTAATATTTAAGCAACAGAATTAATGTGTTACAGCCTAATAAATCAAACAAAATTTTCTTGTCGGCTTAGTCCCTTTATTAATCCGAGGTCGCCACAGCGGAATGAACCGGCGACTTATCCAGCACATTTTTACGCAGTGGATGGTAAAACTGAACAATTCACTACCAAGAAAACAGTTAAAAAGAGCATCTGCAGCACGAGAACAAGAGATCTCATAATCTACTTTCGCTCTCGTGGATAAGGAAAGCTTATTCGCACAGACATCAATTAGCCTATAAATAATTAATTTCGATGTTAAGTGCAAAGATTTGTTTCAAAACTATTTCTAAATTCAGTTCTAATTTCCAGCAAACGAATAAATGAACAACAATAACGAAGTGTGCTCACAAACCTGAGTTATGTCCTAACACACATGCTGTGAACCATATGGTCTAAAACCTGATTTTTTAATAAAACATATATAAATATGCATATAGTAAATAATAATAACATTATACAAAAGCAAATTGTTATGAATGAACTGAAAAAGCCTCCCGAGATGAAGAAGGCATGAAGGCAGTGGTGTTTATATTCATGTAGGCTAGAAAATAATATATTTTGTAATATTTTAATCCTTTATATTTATATTCTATATCTATTCTTATTATATCCTATATATATCCTTAATATGTTTATTCTTTTTCATATGTAAAGATATTTGCGTATTGCTCTTCATCTTGTGTGTATTAAGCAGTGTGTAAGCGAGGCGCACAACTAACTCGCTCTGCGCTGGACAATAGACCGGCTTTGTTCTGGTCTACTGAAAAATCTATTATAGTTTCTCAAAATTGCAACGCGCCAGCATTGTGCCTTAACACGCCTCAACACGCCTCCCTTTTTAGACCAGAACACCTATGGGCGCACATATGAGTGCAAATGCATTTGCTATTTAAACAGCGCGGCGGAAAACGTCAAAATGACTCCTGCGCCAAGCTGAAACTAGCAAACAACAACTAGATTCTTAAAGTTTGAGAACAAACTTTGAGGCTGGCTTGTGAAAGCCTGACGGTAATAGTTTATTTAAACAGTTTTAAAAAGTACGAAAAGATAGATAGATAGATAGATAGATAGATAGATAGATAGATAGATAGATAAATAGATAGATAGATAGATAGATAGATAGATAGATAGATAGATAGATAGATAGATGGATTAACATGTTATTAGCATGATTTTAACGTGAAATTGCATGTTGTTAGCATGATTCTAGCATGAATTAGCATGTTACTAGCATGATTTTAGCATGAATTAGCATGTTGTTAGCATGATTTTAGTATGAATTAGCATGTTGTTAGCACGATTCTAGCATGAATTAGCATGTTACTAGCATGATTCTAGCATGAATTAGCATGTACCTAGCATGATTTTAACATGAATTAGCATGTTACTAGCATGATTTTAGCATGATTTAACACGATTCTAGCATGAATTAGCATGATTCTAGCATGAATTAGCATGTTCTTAGCATGATTCTAGCATGAATTAGCATGTTACTAGCATGATTCTAGCATGAATTAGCATGTTACTAGCATGATTCTAGCATGAATTAGCATGTTGTTAGCATGCTTCTAGCATGAAATAGCATGTTACTAGCATGATTCTAGCATGAATTAGCAAGTTGTTAGCATGATTCTAGCATGAATTAGCATGTTGTTAGCATGCTTCTAGCATGAATTAGCATGTTGTTAGCATGATTCTAACAAGAAGTAGCATGTTACTAGCATGATTCTAGCATGAATTAGCATGTTGTTAGCATGATTCTAGCATTATATAGCATGTTGTTAGCATGATTCTAGCATGAATTAGCATGTTGTTAGCAGGATTCTAGCATGAATTAGCATGTTACTAGCATGATTCTAGCAAGAATTAGCATGTTGTTAGCATGATTCTAACATGAATTAGCATGTTACTAGCATGAATCTAGCATGAATTAGCATGTTGTTAGCATCATTCTAGCATGAATTAGCATGTGACTAGCATGATTCTAGCATAAATTAGCATGTTGTTAGCATGATTCTAGAATGAATTAGCATGTGACTAGCATGATTCTAGCATGAATTAGCATGTTGTTAGCATGATTCTAGTATGAATTAGCATGTGACTAGCATGATTCTAGCATAAATTAGCATGTGACTAGCATGATTCTAGCATGAATTAGCATGTTCTTAGCATGATGGATAGATAGATAGATAGATCGATAGATAGATAGATAGATAAAGGTAGATAGATAGATAGATAGATAGATAGATAGATAGATAGATAGATATAGGTAGATAGATAGATAGATAGATAGATAGATAGATAGATATAGGTAGATAGATAGATAGATAGATAGATAGATAGATAGATAGATAGATAGATAGATAGATAGATAGATAGATAGATAGATAGATAGATAGATAGTGGTAGATAGATAGTGGTAGATAGATAGATAGATAGATAGATAGATAGATAGATAGATAGATAGATAGATAGATAGATAGATAGATAGATAGATAGATAGATAGATAGATAGATAGATAGATAGGAGTGCGAGCATGAGTCAAACAAGCCAACCCCCGCCTCTCTACGATGTTCTGATGCTGAGATATAGCTGCTGTTATATCGTTGCTAGGTTAGTCTGTTTTGTTGCTATGGAGTTGATTGACAGCTTAGACTGATGATGTATCAAAGCTTCTTGCCAGTATGAACAGTTAAAAACAACCCCCATGTCTCTATCACACTGCAGCATGACAATATCAGTCTGAACCTCTTTAATTGCAGTCTATGGGACAGTTGCTAGGGTGCAGTATCTGGTTGTTAGGGTGTGGCTAGAAAGTTAAAAGGCCATCGGTGATTGGCTGCTGGCTAGACTGAGTTAAATGAGCTCAGCCATTAGTCTGTAGGACAGTTTGATGCAGAGTTATGAGCTCACAAAGTTTGATCCCATGTAAAGTCAATGAGAGTCTTTTGCAATGGAAGTCTATGGGACGGTTTCTAGGGTCCAAAAGTGGTTGCTAGGGCGTGGCCAGAAAGTTTAAAGGTGATCAGTCATTGGCAGTTTGATAGTCTGAGTTAAATGAGCCCAGTTAGAAGTCTGTGTGACATTCTGATGCGGAGTTATGAGGTCACAAAGTTTGATCCAATGTTACGTCTATGGGATTTTTCCGACGGTCCCGGGACGTTTTTCGGGAAACCGAAAGTCGGATCAGTCGGAAAGGATATAGCAACTCGAGTCAGAATAGTTCGGAGGTCTGACCCGAGTTTGATGGTCATAGCTTGAAAGGTCTAGGTGGAGATAGAGTTTAATTTTTAGTCTCAGAAGAAGAATAATAATATTAATAAAAATAATAATAAGTTTAATAGGATAACAGTAGTCTGGCTTGCTACACAAGCCAGCCTAATTACATCACACCTTGCGCCAGGTGTATAATAGGGCCCAAAGTGTTATTTTATGTATTATTACTGCATTTCTGAACCTCAATACTTTTAGCCATCAAATCATTTGTATCTGTTCAATTGTTTTGTATTTTATGTAGATAGTCCTCTAAAAAATAATCCCAATCAATGTAAATTGATGCATTTATCCAAAAAAGAGTTATAAGTCATCTTGTGAAATTATATTCATATCGTTATATATATATATATATATATATATATATATATATATATATATATATATATATATATATATTAAGGGTGTCACGATCCTCCAAATCCTCGATTCGATTACATTTTCGATTCTAAAGGCACGATTCGATTCGATTTTCGATTATGAATAATTAATTAATTAATTAATGACCAATTAATTATTTGTAGCCTACCGTTTAAACTACCTGACCTGCATGGTCTTTGTTTTACCCATAAACAAATCATACAGTAAATGAATAAAGGCAAGATACACACATCATTACCACCTGTCAATCACTTTTTCTGCGGGACTCGTGAATAGGCAGTGATCTGTGTCGTTATAATGGCGTCGGTAAAAAAGACGCACAACCAACAGGAACCAGCCAACAGTATCTGAGGTGTTCGCTAAAATGACGAAGTACAAGTGAGTGAAAGATTGAAGCAGTCCTCTGACTGCCTGGACCTGCTGTCTCGAGCGCATGGCTGTGTGTGTGTCTGTGTCTGTGTGGTCACGTGATTGGCATTTTTCGCGAGCGGATTCACAACAGGGACGGGCGGAGGATCGCGATGCCAGTGTTGTCTATCGGATGAACGGTACGTAATACGTACATAGCAGAGCTTGCAAAACTGTGTTTTTTTGTCGACAACACAAAATCCAAAATGCTTCCACACCGGCGACTTCATTGAATGAGGAGAGGGTTTCTGTCGACGGGTCTTCTGCGTCTGCAGTTTAACAAGCACTTCAACAAGCCGTTTTTTTTCCCGCTTGGCAAGCCAAGCTGACGTGACATGGGGGCGTGGCAGCATCGACGATTCTATTTTTTGATTCAATAATCGAAATTAAGAATAAATTTCGATCGATTTCGATTAAAAATCGAAATCGTGACACCCCTAATATATATATAGCCATAGGTGTTCTGGTCTAAAAAGGGAGGCGTGTTGAGGCGCATTGCTGGTGCGTTGCTATTTTGAGAAATATATATATATATATATATATATATATATTGCAGATAAACTGAACATTTCAATGTCGAATATCGTGCAGCCTTACTGAAGATATTCAAGAATTGCCTGCAACTACTGAAATGGCCTTGATTTTGTCAGGTTCTACATGGTGCTGATCCAGGGTCTTCAGATTTCAGACTTCATCTGCAGGCCGGTCTTAGCCAGCATTATCCTGAACTCTTCTGCTCTGTTCTGCTCCGATCTCAAGGGAATCAATGTAGTGGTTCCCTACTTCATATCTGCACTGGAGACCATCCTGCCGGACCGGTGAGTGTCTGATGATAACCATGCCTGAGGAAATCTTGCACATGCTAGGATTACACAAAAAAACTCCTTGTTTAGCTCTGTGTCTTTTTGTTGATTCTTCACATCAACGACTCAACTCTTTTTATTGATGGTTTTATTTACCTCCTTACATTGATATCCAGGGGATGTCCACTCCTATTGCATGCTCAATGTGAATGCATGTTTCTGATTATTTTCCACCGACAGAGAGCTGTCGAAGTTTAAGTCTTATGTGAATCCTACTGAGCTGAGAAGAGCCTCCATCCACATCCTGCTGTCCATGCTTCCGCTTCCTCACCACTTCGGCAACGTCAAATCAGAGGTAAACAGAATTCAGGGAATTTTATATATATATATATATATATATATATATATATATATATATATATATATATATATATATATATATATTAGCGATGTCAAAATTAGTGCGTTAACGCATGCGATTAATTTTAAATAATTAACGCGTAAAAAAATTTTTACGCAATTAACGCAGATGCAGGTTTTTTTTACCTCCTGTTGTGGTGGACGTGTGTTTAACATGCAAGAAAATTAAATAACACCAAGGAAGCACTTTTTGAAGGCAAGTTCCAGTATAAAACAGTTAGTTGCATCACAGGTTATCCAGAGTTTCATGCAATTTCGGGTGTTTCATTTTTAACTTTCGACTTCTGTTGTAAGTTGATACCGCATGGCGAACAGAAAGAAAATCCTCCGCATTTCGTGACTCGGTGTTCCTTTAAGGTAATAAAATCACTGCTTAGGCTACACGGTAGACTTTTAATAAGAGTATAATCTTAATCATATTAAAATTATGTGAATGTACTCAGAAAGTCTCTGGTGAAGTCGCGAGCTGTCAAAGACAGGGCATTACTCTGCCTTTCAGCATGCGCCCTCCAAGTTTAGCTTGTTTCCTCATTAAACGCATCGAAAGCGTATGCTTCGCGTTGTTGTGTCAGAATCCTTGTGAAATACAGTAATACTTTAGGACGCTTAGTTTAAGCAGATTTGATGAACGTGATCATGCGTGTTGAATCTGAGGGGAGTCGCTCCAGTATGGAAGGCCGTTGGGGCCAAAACATCTGCAGCGCATTGTGTGATACTCCTAGTCTTAGCTACTGGATGAATGTAAAGGAGGATTAAGCTAAATTGTTTCTACGCTATAACTAATGTTCTTAACTCACAGCAATAAAACTTTACAATGAGTGCAACAGTTTGTATTCTATAGTTTACTATTATAATTTTCCATTTTCCAGATCTGCAATTCCTGTATTTTGGCATTTTTTTGCAGTCCACTCAGAATCCAACATGGAAATCAATGTTTTCTTTATTGGCATTGATTGTTTTGAAATTTAAATGTCATTAACATGCCTGTGTTTTAATTTCTGTAATAAATATGGCTGTCAAGCCACGATCTTGATGGTTTATTGTGGGTATGTTGTTTACATGAAGAAATCTGTGTTACAAGTTAAACAAAAATTCTATTAAACAATTATATTTCTTATTTTAATTCTAATAAACAATTATATTTTGAATTTAAATAGTTTTTGTCTTGCGTTTACATTAATTTTACATTTAAATAGGCAAAATTACAAGTTTCAGTATTTTAAATGCGGCTAATTGCGATTAATTTTTTTAAAAGGTGCGATTAATTAGTTAAATTTTTTTTATCGATTGACAGCACTAATATAAGGGGTGTAACGGTTCACAAAAATCACGGTTTGGTTCGATACGACACAGTGGTGTCAGGGTTCGGTATGTTTTGATACAGCAAAAAAATGTAAAAAGACAGAGGATTTCTCTGATTTAAATTTTTTTTATGTATTAAAACTGACGTTATAAAAGTATGATCCTGTTTCTTTTTTCTTTTACTTTAAACAGTAATAAAGCTATACTTCCACAGTTTCTGCTAAGCAGCAAATTAAACAAATCCTTCTTTATACTCTAAACCAAAAAGCTTCCTTTAAATAAATCAATGTAATATTGTAGTAGTTAAACAAACAAACAAAAAAAAAAAACAATTTAGTTTTATAATGGAATTTTAATTTATTTTTTAAGTATTTATTTTCAGAAAGATGAGTGTCCACCTTTTCCTCAGACAGCACAGATCTGCTTGATTTGACTGTCACCTGCCATTTCAGTGCATCTAAAAGCCGGAATTATCTGACTGATATGGACTTATGAAGGAATAATGTAACGGGGCTCGATTACATTCAACATTTTCTTAAAATCGAAATTTCCACTACCGATTAAGATCTAACGGGGATCGAAATTAACTTTTTTTCTTGGTAGCACCCGTGGTCCTAACTTCAAAAATGCCTGACAAAATTTAGTCGCACCCACCAAAAATGATGAGCACCGTTACTACACGTTTTACATTAATTCATATTATTAAGCTGAAGTCAAAATTATTCACCCACCTATGAATTTATTCTCTTTTTCCAATGTTTTCCAAATGATGTTGAACAGATTCAAGAATTTTTCACAGTATTTCCTATATTATTTGTTCTTCTGGAGAAAGTCTTATTTGTTTTATTTCTGCTAGAAAGAGAGAAAAAAAGCAGTTTTTAATTGTTTTAATCCCATTTTAGGCTCAATATTATTAGCCCCCTTAAGCAATATTAGTTTTGGATTGTCTACAGAACAAACCACTGTTATACAATGACTTGCCTAATTACACTAACTTTACCCTAATTACCCTAGTTAAGCCTTTAAATGCCACTATAAGCTAAACACTAATCATTTTCATTTGTCAAAATATTTATATTTATTTAATACCTTTTTCTTATAGCACTGTTTTCCCACATTAAATAAATACTGTAGTCATTTAGAGTAAATACTATAGTAAAGTACTTAAATTAATATGTTGTGGTATGGAAACACAACAACAGTACTATAAACAAATGACCCAGTACTGCAGTATTCTACAACTATAGGGTATATTGTACTACAAACCACCAGTTTACTATAGTAAAGTATAATATAGTATTTAACACAGTTTATCAGTTCACCAATGTTATTACTACAGTATGCTGGAGCATTCATTAATAAAGGGTTGTAAATACTATATACAGAGTATAAGATGCTTTACAATATTATTGCTCAAAAACACTCATACTTACTGTAAATTACTATAGTATTTTTTCATGTGGGATATAGGGCTGGGCGATTTTTCGATTAATTCAAATTTACGTTTTGACGACGATTTAATTCTATATTAAATCGAGAATCGCAATTTTTTAAATTTTTTTTTTTTTTAATTTAATTATTTTTTAAATATATATTTAATACATTATATTGGCACCAATGCGCTTTGGTTCACTCTCTGTATGAAGCAGGAAGCACACCAGAAGCACCTCTCGGCGACGCGACGCGCACGCAGTTCATTTTTCAGCTTCTGTGCGCTTCTGGTGTGTGATAGTTTAAACTGTCATGTGCGCGCCATGTAAAGTGCGACCTGCTTGACTGCCTGTTAAAGCGTGAAGTCATGAAGGATTTCGCTTGTTGCATTAGTTGGAGTCATCGTCTGTGTGGATTGTCAAGACATTCCCTCATCAAGTCGATAAACTCGATCTCAACATGTATGAAGGACGTAAAAGCCTGCCATGTGAAAAACCACGCCGATCTTTAGGTTTGAATACGAGTAGAAGTGAGGGACTGTAGCAGTGAAAATGAAAGTACCGGCCCCATGACGTCATTTAGCGGACCTAGTTGAAAACCAGACAGATCAGGCAGCATAATACAGAGAGTGGAGCAAAGCGCGTCAAATGATCGATATTTAAAAGGGGAAAAAAGAAAAATAGATTCAATATATTATTTTATATTAGACACACATCTGGTGCTTGTATTTGCTCCTGCTATAAGTCCACAACTTCACACACTGGGTTAAATTAGGCTTTACAGTTTCCATGTTCAGTCCTTTTCTTCCGCTGTATCTTTTTAAGAAAAAGGCAGCAGCAATACAACCTGCCATTCAATCAGAAGACAAAGTCAAAGCCGAGCTGACAGCCAATCTTTCCTAGGCTCAGCAAAACTTGCAAAAAATGCCTCTGTATTCCTGCAACTGCAATATTTACACAAATACTTCTTATTCAAATCTTCAGCAACGCTATTTAACTCGTGAATTTGTTTTACATTTATTCACACCTTGACCGATTATTGTATGACATGGCCATTAAAAATACAATGTTCCTTAACCAGATGGGTTTTCAAGTTACTTATAAAGAGAATGTTACTTCAGTCATGTTGTTGTAATGTTTTGAGAAGACTAGTAACACAATAAAAAAAAAATAATAATCGAAATCGTGAATTGGTCAAACTTTATAAAAAACCTAGATTTTTTTTTTTTTTGCCAAATCGCCCAGCCCTAGTGGGATAGCATGTTTTGTCCATTGCTATGGTGTTTTTTGTGTCATTTTATTCCTTTTTTACTGACAATTTAATATATTTAAGCAAAATGATATAAGAATATGCAATATGTATAATATAAAACTTAATAATAATATGTATAAGTAGCACTTCTTGTGTGTAATGCCTCTTCTTGTTGAATCACTGAATGTTTCAGAAGTGTTAATGCAGAATAACAGAGACAGCGCGCAGAAGTATAAATGCACAGCTACTTGATGCAGAAGTATAAACCAGGCTTTAATGTAAATAAAAAAAATACAGTTTATAAATATAAAGGAGCACAAGATGTTTTGAATGAAAATGAATGAAAGTAAATGAGACAGGAAGAAAAATAAGGTGGATGGATCATGAAAATTTTTGTCAGATAAGTCAGAGTTTGATATTTGGTTTTCAAATGGAAACCCAGGGTAAAACGCTTCAGATGTGGGGGTGTTATCCGTTCATCTTCCTGATTTCTCTCTGAGCACATAACTGAATTGGCTGTGTTTTTCTAATTGAATCTCCAGGTTCTGTTGGAAGGGAAATTCAGCAATGATGACAACTCTCTCCACGACAAGGCGGTCACCTTCCTCTCCCTGAAGCTGCGATTGGTCAATATTCTGATCGGCGCCCTGCAAACAGAGACAGACCCGATCAATACACAGATGATACTGGGTATTCAATATGTGCATTTACTGGTTTGTCAAGGGAAATACAATGAAAGAAAGAGTTTAGGCTCTGAAACATGCTTCGTCAGTGAAAATCTATAAACATATTAAGCAAACTGTTATTATTATTTATATTTATAAAACTATTATTCTTTATAAACTCCATATTTTGTAGAACTCCATTGTTCAAGGTTAACTATATTGCTATTTTATAAGTTAAATAATAATAATAAATAGTAAAGGAATAGAAATTATTATTATTATTATTATTATTATTATTATTATTATTATTATTATTATTATTATTTTTAGATACGTACCTTAAATGATTTGTTTAACAATGTTAAACTGATATCTTATAATGATTTGAAAAAAAGGTTTAAATTAGAAGGACAAGATCATTTTTTGGAAATACTTACAAATCAGACATTGTATTGAAATAAGGGCCCCCAAAATACAGAATAGAAATATGTTGGAAAAATTGTATAAATTCCCAAAACAGCTTCAAAAAGTTTCTACGTTTTACGAAATTATGTTGTCTTTTATCAGGAGTTTGTTCACATTGCCGTGCTGCTGTGTTCGCCTAAATCCTAATAATAAATAATAAATAGCCTACTGATAAAGTAAGTGTTACAACCTCTTTGATGTTAGTCTAGGGTAAAAGTAATAACATTTAAGAGGTGTGGTACCTTTACAAGATGATGGGTGAAAACAAAAGACACAATCAACAAAACTGCCAACAAAAGTGATTTAATGTACAAAAAAGTGAAATCAGAATAATGCCCAAATATATATACACTCAGAAAAATATTTACAATAATAAAGTAACAAATTAAACAAAGTATCAAACAAAATTAGGTCAACTCAAGAGTAAGGGGACGCCAGTGAAGCCAAATCAAAGAAATAAATATAACAAAACAATTCTAACTCATAAGCCAAACCCTTACCTCACTAGAACATGAAAAGAAAAAGAAAAGAAAAATCTTCAGCGCCGTAAACTTACCTATTCTGACCTAAAAACAAAACAAATACATAAGCGGCATTCACTTTCTTACCTGGTGTTTTAAACAATGGATTGACTACGTGTATGTAAGATGGAAGTCGTACGACATCTTCCCTGCCCGCCTTACTCTGAGGACAAAGTCAACTCTCAATAATCTGTGTTAGGTTTGAGCAGGTAAGAGTTGTGCCAAAGTAACAAACAAACAATCGAATATAAATGTACAGAAATCACAATCTCGTTCAAAAATGGGCAGAAAATATACTAAATAATTTTATACAAACGAAAGTTAAGCAAATTTAACGAATACCAAAATCATGTCGGCAAAAATACACAAAAACGGGATCAAAGGAAAAGCGCGCTGTCATCCGCTCTCCCTGGCGTCCTTATATGTGACAGCGCCACGTCACCCAATAATGAGTGACTGGTCTCCTGACTAATCAGATTCCGCGAAGGCGGACCTAAAGGATATGACAGGTAGAGATGGGGAGAGAGAAAGAGAGGGAGAGAGAAAAAGAAAGAGGGAACGGGACGCAAAAATTCCACCAATATACGGCAACCGTTACAGTAAGTTATATAACAATCATATGATAATCTTTAATATTTTTTTTGTTATGTGTGCTGTATTATTATGTAACCACATACCAATTAAATACCAACTATACCAACAAATTAAAGCAATGGTTATGCACATTCAGTTCTGGCAGTTGTGGATAATAACTGCATGTGTGTTTCTTCCCACAGCGGCGATGCTGAATATCGTGCAGGATTCTGCTCTGCTGGAGTCTGTTGGTGCTCAGGCTGAAGTGGTACGACTTTTACTGTCCCACATGAACTAATATCAGTTTAGACAGAGAACCTGACCTACATTTGAAGTGTCGGCAGGATGGTACATGATAAAGACAGATCATTAGCCACGTTTCCATCCACCTATGTTTATGCACAATTTGGGATATGGAAATGCTAAGATGAGTAGGATAAACGGTAACACTTTATAATAACTGCACATTATGAACCATTTATTAAGCATTAGCAAATAGTGAATTCATTATCTGTTAAGCATTAACTCTACATTAATAAGCGTTAGTAAGCAGTTTATAACTGCAGCTACAAATGCTGTATTCTTGACTTACAATCATATTTAAAATGTGTTTAATAATTGTACTTTCATACTTAGTTAACAATTTATTTTTCATTACTACATTAAGTATCGCATTATTTACAAACCATTTGTGTTTAAGAGTAGTTGAGGGTTTTTAGGATCATTCAGAATGAGTTAGTAAATGATTAATAAACTATTAAAATCAACGTTTATATGTCTTATTATTCAGGCATATATTAATGGTTACTATGTATGTTAATAAATGCTTTATTAACTCAACTTCATCTAGTTTTGTGACCTAATCTAAAGTGAGGACTATTCATGCTTTATAAATCCCTTATAAATGACAAATAAAGGCTCAGTTAAATTCTAAACAGGAAAAATGACATTATTCATACCTATTAGTTTAAAGATACACAAATGAAACTGTACTTCAAATGAAAAATAAATCTTTGCAACCTGATCTAAAATAAAATCAATTTAGAGTTTAAACATTGCATCTTATTATATTGTTAAATTATTATATTGTTGTTTTATCCAGTTGGATGTCGTATTTTGACACTCAGGTTATTCAGCAATGTTTAAACTTTACAGTAATTTTACTTTTTAGATGTGATTGCAAAGATTATTCTTCATTTAATTCTGAGCCTTTATTTGTCATTTATAAGGGATTTATAAAGCATGAATAGTCCTCACTTTAGATTAGGTCACAAAACTGCATGAAGTTGAGTTAATTAGGCATTTACTAACATATTAGTTAACTATTAGTATATGCCTGAATAATAAAATATACAAATGTTGATTTCAATAGTTTATTAATCATTTACTAACTCATTTTGAATGATCCTAAACACCCTCAACTACTCTTAAATACAACTGGATTGCAGAGTTAATGCTTAAAAGGTCACGAAACACCAAAACACATGTGTTGAGCTGTTGACAGTCGTATATGTGTCCCACACTGCTAAAAACACTATTAGGACACCTATATTTTTTTGCGTTATTTCAAGCAAATTCGTACTTCCGGTTTGAAACGAATATTTGAAGCTGCGTCACGGTCATGACATAATAGCGTGTATTCCAGCGTCTGTGCCAGAGTGAGTCTTATTACGTCTAACAGTGTGCTGCATTAATGCATGAGTAAGGCTTGGTTCAAACCAATCAGCGCGCTCTATTGTGCAACTTCATTAATATTCATTACTGTCAGAGTGTAGACGGCAGAGACGCCACGTTGTGTTGGCAAAACAAGCGTGAAGTGTTGCTTTTATAGTTTGCTGCAGTTCAGTTTTGTTTTCATTTTCTCTCTGTGAGAGCTCAGACTCACGTGTGGATTAACAGTGTACGCGACGCTCGACAACAATAACTTACGTGTCTAAGGAGGAACATTGTTTACCTGAGAGCTGTTCTCATCTGCAAACGCTGAGATCTGGATTCGCTTGTAGTCTCCTCTTAATAAAGACGCGGCTCTAGTTGCTGGTGATTGTCCTGTCTCTACAGATTTGGTAAGTGAGCGAGCAGTGCTCTTTGTTTATTCAGTTCGTATTTTATTCATATCAAACAAACTATTGCACCGAGTGTAAACATGTTAGCACTAACAGTTACAACCAAACTATAACCTCGTGTTGGATTTTGTAACCGGAATAACACACGCGGCTTTCTGACGCTACCTGCCGTGTGCATCTAAGTTTCCAGGAAATGCTGAGTTTTTTTTCTCTCATTCGCCGTGCGGTATCAAACATTGCATGAAAAATACACGCTTAGGGCAGATCCTCGAATCAAATATCTCGTTTGTCGGGAGGGACATGAATGAATTCCCTGAATGAAAGAGCCAAACTGCAGTTAAAGTCCACCATTTAATAATTTGCCAAATAATTCGACTACAGATGTCCATGTAAACACAGTCACTTTCTCCCCTGTGTGTGTGTGTGTGTGTGTTTTGACTCTGAAAGTCAGCGCGTGCCCAAATAGACACTCCCACACCAAGCCTCTGTTCTTCCTCCGACACTCCCCCCTAAACAGAGCTGGACACGCCCACTTTTCTGACTTTTTCCAAAGTAGAGGTGTGAAAACACCCTGCTGAAACGAGGGGGTTTCATGGCCCTTTAACAGATAATGAGTTCACTATTTGCTAATGCTTAATAAATGATTTATAGTGTGTAGTTATTATAAAGTGCTACCGGATAAACTACTTGTATTACTTTTAGGCAACCCGGTGGTGCAGTGGTTAGCACTGATGCATCACTGCAAGAATGTTGCTGGTTCAAGTCCCGGCTAGGCATTTCTGTGTGGAGTTTTCATGTTCTCCCCCTGTTGGCGTGGATTTCCTTCGCCAACTATTCCAGCATATGTTTTCTGCAGCGGATGCATCCCATTACTGGGAAACAACCATTCACACACACACACACACACACTAATACACTCTGGGCAATTTAGCTTAATCAATTCCCCTATAGCGCATGTGTTTGGACCGGAGCACCCGTAGGAAACCCATGCTTACAAGGGGAGAACATGCAAACTCCACACAGAAATGCCAACTGACCCAGCCAGGACTCGAACCAGCAACCTTGCTGTGAGGCCATGGTGCTGACCGCTGAGCCACCCTGCCGCTCCAGCTTTATTCACTACTGTTTTATTCGATATTTCAGTTTGTGCCTTGGCTTTGTCTTATTTGCATTGGATGGAAGCACAGCTAATGCTGCAGTGTGTGTGTGTGTGTGTGTGTGTGTGTGTTGTGTGTGCAGGGCAGTGTGGATGGCAGCCATTCTCTGGCTAAGAGTCACAGTCGTAATAACAGTGGCATCAGCAATGCTAGCGCAGGCAGTTCAGAAGCCACCACTCCAGACAGCGAACGCCCGGCACAGGCCCTGCTGAGAGACTACGGTAAGCACAGAGGGACATCAGACACTCGTGCGTTTTATCTGCATTAAAGCATTTCTCTGTTTAACTCCGCTTTAATAAGTGGCTTTGTATGAAAGCATCTGCTAATGCATAAATCTAAATGCTTAGGAAAATGATTTGAAAAGCTTGTCAGAGATCTGAGCCGGTTAATTATTGTAGTAATGACAAGATTCATTAGCAGAGATGCCAAAATGACTCCAAATGATCCTGTTTATTTGACGTTATGCTCTCATACAGAGTGTGCGGTGGTTTATTTAAATATGGCTTTTATTTTATTTGTATATTTACAGTATCAGAACTAGGGTTGTAACAATATACCGGTATGACTGTCTACCATGATTTGAACGTGCACGATTATCATACCATGAACAATTGCATATCAACGGTTTTAACCCTTAAAGACCGAGACAGCTAAAAATAAGTATTGCTCTTAATTGTTTAATAACTTTTAATCCGCTGATCCGATTCATACAATTCAAAGATTGGCATAAAGAAGAGAATCTCAGCTTTCCAGTGCTGTATCACATAACATTCGCGGACTTTCAGAGGCTGTGAATCAGTGCGGTTACGTCATCAACATTTGACAACGCTGATTTGACAAAGAAATGCTCGTCACTGTGTCTCCGGACAAACCAGACATGATGCATTGATGCATTGTCCCTCCTCCATGCCCAGATTGGTTCAAACTCGCTATATCACAACCAATAAGCATAGGTTTCGCTTTTGTTTGTGGACCAACAATGAGCTTTTTGAACAACACGGAATGAGAGATAGGCATACATTTATGCACGGCTAAATAAAACGCAAAAAAAAGTTTTGCATGAAATAATTCTCATACTAAGTACTTTTGCATGCACAGCAGCACAGAAACATGACAAAACAGTGACACAGCAAAGACGAACTGCTGCTCTTGCTGTTTTCAAAAGACGCAAATGAAGATGCAGCTGTTTGTCTGCATTGCAGACAACCATATCCAAATCCATATCCACAGACAACCATATCCATGCTGGCACATAAAACCTAAGGATGTTCCATATTGAATCTAGTTTCGTTATGTAACTATTTATAGTATAGTAAATATTTATATCTATTTTTTTACTGAGGATTTGCACCATGTTTATTTGGACTTTATTTGGACTTTGACACATTATTTATTATTTTCTTATTTTTTTATTTGTTCATTGTAAGTGGTGTTGTTTATAGTAACTGAAAATATATTATTTGGAAAAAGTCAAATTTGCTTCACTGTTCTATTATTTTGTAACATTTGTAACATACCGTATACCGCAAAACCGTCAAACCGTGGTATTGTTTTAGACGATTATCATACCGTAAAAAATTCATACCGTTACAACCCTAATCAGAACATTTACGCTGCTCTTTTCCATTCACTGAAAGCAGATAGTACCACAGGGCCATCATTTACACCAAAATTTAATTTGCACAAATAATTGTTAGGATTATTATACAACTGAAATAACTAATTATTCAAGAAATAGTTCTATAAAACTATAAAAATTTGTTTAAATAAAACTAAAACTAAATAATTTTACATTTATTTTGATTAGACAAATTAAAAAATGAATTATTCTAAAATAATTCTATGAATAATCATAGTAATATTAAACGTAATGTAATAACATTAATAGTAAAACTAATAATAGTTAAAATGTCTAAATAAAAATTACAAAAGTACAGGGCTCGAAATTAACATTTTTGCTTGGTAGCACCGGTGCTCCTAACTTTAAAATTTAGGCGCATCAGCCAAAACTTAGTCTCACCCACCAATCATAAGCACCGTTACTACAAGTGTTATACAAACATATTTATTGCATTTGAAATCAACATTAATCAAACTAACTAACAAAAAAATATATATATGCATGCGTGAGGAAAATATGTCTCAAAAAAATCACAAGAAAATAGATTTTGATAACATAACTGAGTGACCAAAAGATACACGGAGCGCTCACCGGCCCTGCACACACTGCTGGACATGAATGAGTCTGATATAACTGTGCTGTTCTCACGGGTGCTGTCTGATATTGCACTGATGCTTTTGACATATACTGTACCTTATTATATGCATACGTCATGTTAATAGCCATACCAGTCTTTTCATGAGTATTGATATTAGTTTACTCAGCGCAAGCCCGTTTGCGATGGTGTACGTGGTGTTAAATTTGACATATAGCTGCCATAAAAAATTAAATAAATCCCACATTTTTGATTTAGTCTAGTCTAATATTAAAGCATTATTAAAGTGCATCCCAGTCTTGTGACATAATGCATCTCTGCATGTTTGTAGAAGTTGCATGAAATCGATATTTCGAAGCTGTCGATCTGTGCATCATGTTTAAATGTGTTTAACCAGTGCTCTTCTATATGGACCCTTTTCACGAGACTGTTATGATGAGGTTATATCTTTAATCCTTGAATTTATTTGGATTTTTTTTACGTATAAACATTTATATGTATTCATTTGTGTATGCATTACATTCAAATTACAATAAACTAACTAGCCCCTGTGTGAGGTGTTTGTAATGCAGCGTTTATGAGAGCAGGACAGTAAATCTGACATTATTCTCTCTTCTTTCTGCAGTTATCAGTCTCACACTATTGTTTTCCTCCTTCTGAAAGTCTTGATAACACCATTATGGAGTTTATTGGTCATTATTTCAGCAAATAGGATTGTAAATAAATGATTTGCTGTACTTTCCCATTTACTGCGCTAAGTTTACCAACTATGTGCTCATGTGCTGCTGGGAAACACACAAATGTGAAAAGGCTCCATATGAAATGCTTGTTGTTTATTTTAAAAGCATGCCGTCAGATGAAGCCTAACGCGGCCTGCTGTTATGATCTCAGTGTCTGTGTTCATGTGTATGGTGGATCATCACATGTCTCTGTGCCTGGCTTGCGTCTGTGTGTGTGTTACTAACCCGCTGTGTATGGCGTGCTGTGTGTTATATCCCAGCTCTCCACACAGACACTGCGGCCGGGCTGTTGATCCGCAGCATTCACCTGCTCACCCAGAGACTCAACTCTCAGTGGAGACTCGACATGAGCATCTCTCTGGCGGCGCTCGAGCTGCTCGCGGGACTCGCCAAGGTACACACACACATATATACATACATGCATGCACACATACACTTATACCCACTCACCCAAATACACACTTACAGTACACACACACATACAGTATATACAAATATATACATACATATACACTTACACACACATATACATACATATGCACACACATTTAAATGCACAAATGTACATACACACACACCCATAAACATATATGCAGACACACACTTACAAATGCATAGAGTTGAAGTTAGAGTTTTTAGACCCCCTGAAATTTTTCTCTTTGCCATGATGACAGCACATAATATTAGACTAGATATTCTTCAAGACACTAGTATTCAGCTTAAAGTGACATTTAAAGGGTTAATTAGGTTAATTAGGGTAAAGTTAGGGTAATTACGCAAGTCATTGTGTAACAGGTAACATTGTAGACAATCCAAAATAATCATTTCTTAAGGGGGCTAATAATATTGACCTTAAAACGGCTTTAAAAAAATGTTTAAACTGCTTTTATTCTAGCCGAAATAAAACAAACAAGGCTTTCTCTAGAAGAAATAATATTATCAGACATACTGTGAAAATGTCCTTGCTCTGTTAAACATCATTTGGGAAATATTTAAAAAGGAAAAAATACAAAGGGGGGCTAATAATTCTGACTTCAACTGTAACATACACATAATTGCATGTAAACACATATACACTGTATATACGTACATATACACAATATATAAACTAATACAATATTAAGTCGTCATCATGGCGAAGACAACAGAAATTAGTTATTAAAACCATTGTCTAAACAAATCACTTGGAAATTATTTTTTTAAAGAATCTAAATTTCACAGGAGGGTGAATACTTTTGCATTCAACTGTACACTGTAGAAAAAATTAAATTACAGAAATTGATCAGAAATTTTAATTAAAGAAAATTTCTGTAATTTAACATTTGTTATTTTACAGTAAATTTCTGTAATTTAACACTGCACTGCAAAAAATGCTTCTCTTGCTTAGATTTTTTGTCTTGTTTCTAGTCTAAATATCTAAAAATTGCTAAATCAAGAAGAATTTTCTAGACAAGCAAAACACATTGTCTCGTTTTGAGAAATATTAAGTGAGTTTTACCTTAAAATAAGCAAAATAATCTGCCAATGGGGTCAGCAAAATAATCTTGTTTTTTTTGATGTAAGATCATTTTGCTTTCCCCATTGGCAGATTATTTTGCTTATTTTTTATATTTATATTAAATCCCGCTTTTTAAATGTATTGATCTATTTTAAATTTGCCAATTGTTTTGACCCCTGTCATTCCTTTCTCTTTATTATTTAATTACATTATTATTTTATTTTAATATTAACATACTATTTTATTATTTAATTTTTCCCTTAATTACTTTTTAGATTTATTAATTTATTGATTTCCTCTCCTATGTGACATTAAAATAACAATACATTTTTTGTTATTTATTGGCTTGAGTTTTTAATATTTGATGAAGTTAAAATAAAAATAAAAAAGTAATTAAATATTTTATAGTATTTTCAGCTTTAATCCATGTGCATCCAGAATGTTTAGGTTTTTTTTTAAATGTTTGATGCTTCTCTAGTATTTAACAATATTACTGTATTTTTGATCAAATAAGCACATAAATCCTTGGCAAGCAGAAGATCTGGTTTTAATAGCAAGAGATTGTGTTTGTTGGTTTTATTTGTTCAGGTGAAGGTGAGCGTGGAGTCGTCTGACCGCAAGCGTGCCGTCAGCTCGGTCTGCAGTTATATTGTGTATCAATGCAGTCGTCCAGCTCCGCTTCATTCCAGAGATCTGCACTCCATGATCGTCGCTGCTTTCCACTGTCTGTGTGTGTGGCTTACTGAACACCCCGACATGCTCAATGAGAAGGTACGTCTCTGTCTAATCTCTTAAACTACAACTTACAACCACACAATAAAGAAAACAGTGTTCATTTGTGAACAGACATGGGCTGGTATAAGATTCTGAAAGTTTAAAAAAAAAATTATTTATATATATATATATATATATATATATATGATTACTGCTCTAAAATATGTTTTTGTTAATGTCTGGGTAAAAAAACAACTGTTTTTCCATTTTAGGGACTATTTACTGTCATTTTTGATCAATTTAAAGTCTTGGTTGGGAAAAATTGTTAATTTCTTGTATAAAAGTAGCTGTGAACCTTTTCGTTGCAGTTTATTATAGCAAAAATAAATGCAAAGTCATAGCAAAAATAAATGCACATGTCGAAAAAAATTACTTGACTATTTAAAGTAGATTTTTACTGGGGGGTTGTTTGTTTTTACAGCAGTACTTGAAATAATAATTTATTAAAGAATTTTAAATATTAAAAAGTTTAAACATCTTTCTAGCTGATGTGTCAATGTCAGGATCAAAAGTAATTAAAGATGAAAAATTCTATATTCATTCATTCATTTTCCTTCGGCTTAGTCCCTAATTTATCAGGGGTCACCACAGCGGAATGAACCGCCAACTATTCCGGCATATGTTTTACCCTTCCAGCTGCAACCCAGTTCTGGGAAGCATCCATACACACTCCCATTCACACACACACACACGGCCAATTAAGTTCCTCTATATCGCATGTGTTTGAACTGTGTTGGAAACCGGAGCACCCGGAGGAAACCCACACCAACACAGGGAGAACATGCAAACTCCACACAGAAACGCCAACTGACCCAGCCAGGACTCGAACCAGTAACCTTCTTGCTGTGAGGCGACAGTGCTAACCACTGAGCCACCATTTTGCCCCAAAATTATATATAGTCTGTGTAAATATATATATATATATATATATATATATATATATATATATATATATATATATATATATGTATGTATATGTATGTATGTATGTATGTATGTATATATATATATGTATGTATGTATGTATGTATGTATGTATATGTATATATATATATATATATATATATATATATATATATATATATATATATTTCTTGTGTGTTTTTGTCAACTGTAAGTCTATCCAATATGTAATCTCATTTAATGATGCCAGTCTTGTTTAAAACACATTTGTATTGTGTCTTTAAGGATTGTCTGATTGAAGTGTTGGAGATCGTGGAGCTCGGCATCTCCGGCAGCAAGTCCAAAACAGGCGAACAGGAAGTGAAGTATAAAGGAGACAAAGAGCACAACCCTGCATCTATGAGGGTCAAAGATGCCGCAGAGGCCACGCTATCATGGTAAAGTCTTTTATAAACCAGCTCTGAATGCCTTTACTATAGAAATCATTTACTATAGTAATTTATAGTCAACCACTAATAATCCATTTCAAAACCTTTTTTATTTAACATTGAAGTTTTTCATTGCAAAGAGATACGATTCACAATAGCTGTTAGACATTTTTACAGCAAATTCTCCTAATTAAATTCCCTAATCGAGAAAAAAGCTACCAAAGCAACACATCTCTTTACATGATCTTCCGTTAATGCAACAATTATTTATAGAAGTAAAAGGGATTAGTGTTTAGACCTGTAGAAGTCTAAAATTTCCCTCATAATGAGCTTAAGTGAAGTTTATTCATAAACTGATTTCGAGAGGATCACGTGCTTATGATTGACACGGCTGGCCCCGAGTCAAGCTAATGTACGAACCACCAATCAGACTACTCCTAATAACCAAACACCTTACCTTTAGTCATCTTCGTCTTGAAGAATCCCCCCTTCCACCCCTTCGCCTCCTCCTTTGTCTACAGGGCAGCACGGCGGCCCAGTGGCTAGCACTGCAGCCTCACAGCAAAATGCCTCCGCTTCGGGCATCTACCCAAACGGTCAGCATTTTCGTGCGGAGTTCATGTTCTCCCCGTGCTTGCGTGGGTTTTCCCCGGGTCCTCCGGTTTCCTCCCACACTCCCAAAAACATGACACTTAATTAAATTGACTAATCAAAATTAGCACCAAATTTGATTTAATTCTATCAGCAACGCATCACCTTAGCAACCCTCACGCAGCAGTAAGGGGGGGGTTCTCGAGATCTACCCGAGCTCAAACTCCCCTCTCGCCCTGCAACGGGAGGGAGCCCCGGGCTCGAGGCTCTCATGAGCTCGGGGCTCTCTCCCGGGACAGCATGCCAAACTAGCTTATTACCAATCATCAGCTAAGTGTGAACTCTTGAAAGGGTCATGAAACACCAAAACACATGTGTTTAGATGTTGACGGGTCAAATATGTGTCTCATCCTGCTATAAACACTATTACGACACGTATATCTCACTAACAAGTGAAAATTGGTTGTTTTTGCGTTATTTCAAGCATATTTGTTCTTTCAGTTTGGAACTAATTTTTAAAGCTGCGTCACGCCGATTAGATCCTTGCATGTATTCCAGTGTGTAAACTGGATGTCTGTACCTGGGAGTGCATCGTCTCTGAGTGTGCGGCATTCATTCATGAGTAAGACTTGGTTCAAGCTAATTAGCTCGCTCTATTGTATATGCGATGCAACTTCATTAATATGCATGATGACTTCGAAGACTGTTTTACCTGTTACAGTGTTCAGACGGCAGAGAGACGCCACGTTGTGTTGCCAAAACAAGTGGAAGAACAGGAATTTGGAGAAATGGGTCGTCAGTGTTGCTTTTATAATGTGCTGCAGTGAAGGTTTTGTTTTCATTTTCCCGCTATGAGAGCGCAGCTGGACTCACGTGTGGATTAAAGTGCACGCGACAGAAACATGTATGTAAGGAACAGGCTTTACCCAAAAGCTTTTCGCATCTGGAAATGGTGAAATCCTAATTTGCTGCTCGTCTCCTTTTAATAAAGACGCGGCTCCAGTTGGTGTTGATTGTCCTGTCTCTGCAGATTTGCTAAGTGAGCAGTTGTCTTTGTTTGTTTATTCAGATGGCAAATTTAATTTGTATCGTCAGCAGTACTCTTTCAGTGTTTAAAGGCATGCCTTACTTAAAATTATTTGAACTTTTACTAAGTTTACAGTACGTTAACATCACTACAATCTTATAGACTGAAAGATCCGCTGTAAAGGCTGCTCTCTGAGTGTAAACCTGTACACCGCAATCAAACTATTACCGTCGTGTAGGATTTTCACTGCATTTTGTGACAGGATAGTCTATACACACACGTCTTTCTGACACTACCTACCGAGTGCATCCAAGTTAGTGGGAAATGCAGAGGTTTTTTGTTTTTCTCCCATATTGTAATGTGTATTTATATAGCGCATTTATTGTGTATGGCCATACACCCAAAGTGCTTCACAATCATGAGGGGAGTCTCTTTACACCACCACCAGTGTGCAGCATCCACTTGGATGATGCGACGGCAGCCACAAGACAACGGCGCCAGTGCGCTCACCACACACCAGCTATTGGTGGAGTGAAGAGACAGTGATGGAGCCAGTTCGGTGGAAGGGGATGATTGGGGGGCCATGATCGTAAGGGCCGATTGAGGGACTTTGGCCAGGACACCGGGGTTACACCCCTGCTCTTTCACAAGAAGTGCCATGGGATTTTTAATGACCACAGAGAGTCAGGACCTCGGTTTAACGTCTCACCTGAAAGACGGCGCCCACTGACAGTGTAGTGTCCCCTTCACTTTTACCGGGGCATTAGGACTCACATAGACCACAGGTTGATCGCCCCCTGCTGGCCTCACTAACACCACTTCCAACAGCAACCTAGCTTTCCCATGTGGTCTCCCATCCAGGTACTGACCAGGCTCAGCCCTGCTTAGCTTCAGTGAGTGGCTGTTGTGGCTATATTGTTGTGCGGTATCAAATACTCCATTAAAACTACACTCTTCCAGCAGTTCCTCGCATCCAATATCTCGTTTGTCACGGGGGGCATGCATGAAGTGTTCCTGAATAAAAGTGAAAGTGCTAAAAAAGTTAAATTCGACAAATTAATAATTTGGCAAATGATTCTATCACTGATGTCTATGTAAACACAGTCACTGTCTTTCTCCCCTGCATCTGTGTGTTGTTTTGCCCATTTTAATGCAAAACCTTCCCTCTTTCCCTCCCCCGACACTCCCGCCTAAACAGAGCTGGACACACCCACTTTCTTCACCTTTTCCCCTGCTGAGACAAGAGGGGTTTCGTGACCCTTTAAAAGGGTCTTAAAAAAATCTTAAAGGGTCTTAAATTTGACTTGAAACCTGCAGAAACTCTGCTCTGTGCATGTGTCTTGATTGGTGTGTCTGTGTGTTGCAGTATAATGCAGGTTTTGGGCGCGTTCCCATCTCCCAGCGGTCCCGCATCGCCCTGCAGTCTGCTGAACGAGGACACGCTCATCAAATACTCCAGACTCACCTCCACTTCTCACAGCAACTTCAGATACTTCGTCCTGGATAACTCCGTCATCCTCGCCATGCTGGAGCAGCCGCTGGGGAACGAACAGAGTGAGGAGAACACGACGCACATTTCATTACATTACTCTTATTTCCTGTTATAGGAGCAATATGTACGATGTTTTCATTATAATATCCAAAAGCAGTGGAACGATGTTGTATATTTTGTTGACAGATGTTCTTACATTGTCTCAAAGGCAGAGAAATCAACCATGTTAACTAGCTGAACTTCCAGTGTGTCAGTGGAAATGCGCTGTTACTCTATACTACCACAATAATGAGTGTTGAATACATCCTGTAACTCCCATGATTCCACAATCAGTCACGCCATCAGCAACATAGGCCTTAGTTTGTTGTAATTACACACCCTCTAGTGGAGAAAACTACATACTGTGTTTTTAATTAGTGTGTGCGTCTGTCAACAGATCCCTGTCCGTCTGTCACCATGTTAATTAGAGGTATGTCTGGCCGACATGCATGGACTATGCAGCTTTTCCATCAGCCTCGAGGAGCAAGAGCCAATCAGAAGGTAACACATCACCTTAACTGCCAATCAGAACATAGATGGTCTTTCAGTAGCCAATCATAGGATAATTTACAACCTCAAGAGCCAATCAGAACATAGATGGTCTTTCAGTAGCCAATCATAGGATAATTTACAACCTCAAGAGCCAATCAGAACATAGATGGTCTTTCAGTTGCCAATCATAGGATAATTTACAACCTCAAGAGCCAATCAGAACATAGATGGTCTTTCAGTAGCCAATCATAGGATAAGATACAACCTCAAGAGCCAATCAGCGCATAGATGGGCTTTCAGTTGCTAATCAGAGTGAATGATACAACATTAGCAGCCAATCAGTGAACAGTTGGGTTGTTATTAGCCAATCAGAAAATAAGATACAACTTTCAGTGTCGAGCAGAGCGCAGATGGGCTTTTAGTAGCCAATCAGAAACTATGATACAACATTGACAGCCAATCGGAGAACTGATGGGCTTGTAGTTGCCAACCAAAAAATATAATACAACCTTGACAGTCAATCAGAGGACATATGCAATGTCAATAACCAATCAGAAAGTAAGATACAACATTGACAACCAATCAAAGCGCAGGTGGGTTTTCAGTAGCTAATGAGAAAGTAATATATACAGTTGACAGCCATTAAAAAAAAGTTGGGCTGTCATTAACCAATCAAAAAGTAAGATGCAAACTTGACAGCCAATCAGAGCACAGATGGGCTTTCAGTAGCCAATCAGAAAGTAAGATATGAAATTGACAGCCAATCAAAGAACAATAGGGCTCTCATTAACCGATCAAAATAGTAAGAGACAACCTTGACAGCCAATCAGAGCACTGATGAGCTTTCAGTAGCCAATCAGAAAGTAATATATAAGATTGACAGCCAATCAAAGAAAAGTTGAGCTGTCATTTACCAATCAGAAAGTAATATTCAACCTTGAAAGCCAATCAGATCACAGATGGGCTTTCAGTATCCATTCAGAAAATATGATACAACATTGACACCCAATCAGAGAACAGTTGGGCCATCAAAAAGAAAAATATAACCTTCCCATGAAAAGTTGAGCTGTCATTAACCAATCAGAAAGTAATATTCAACCTTGAAAGCCAATCAGATTACATATGCAATTTCATTAACCAATCAGAAAGTAAGACATAACCTTGACAGCCAATCAGAGAACAATTAGGCTTTTATTAACCAATAAGATACAAACTTGACAGCCAATCAGAGCACAGATGGGCTTCCAGAAAGCCAACCAGAAAGTAATATACACAGTTGACAGCCAATTAAAGAAAGGTTGGGCTGTCATTAACCAATCAAAATAGCAAGATACAACCTTGACACCCAATCAGCGCACAGATGAGCTTTCAGTAGCCAATTAGAAAGCATGATACAACATTAACAGCCAATCAGAAAACAGTTGGGCTGTAATAAACAAATCAAAAAAGCAAAATACAACCTTGACAGCCAATCAGAGCAATGATGACCTTTCAGTAGCCAATCAGAAAGTAATATATAGAATTGACAGTCAATCAAAGAACAGTTAAGCTGTTATTAATCAATCAGAAAGTAAGATACAATCTTGAAAGCCAATCAGAGCACAGATGCAGCCAATCAAAGCACAGTTGGGGTTTTATCAACCAATCAGAAAGTAATATTCAACCTTGAAAGCCAATCAGAGCACAGATGGGCTTTCAGTAGCCAATCAGAAAATATGATAAAACATTGACAGCCAATCAGAGAACAGTTAGGCCATCAAAAAGAAAGATATATTCTTGCCAGTCTGTCAGAGAACATAATCAATTTCATTAACCAATCAGAAAGTAAGATACAACCTTGACAGCCAATCAGAGCACAGATGAGCTTTCAGTATCCAATCAGAACCTGAAAAGCGGATCGATCAGTAAATCTGGAGGTAAAAACTTGGTTAATTTCCTCAGCAGAAAAATAGTAAACTACTGATATGTTATAAACTTTTTTAGGCTGTTAAAGCTTATTTATAAATATTTAATTGAACGTTGAAGCACTATTTAAACTTTTTTTTTAATATTAATCATGTTTAACAGCTGAATTTGTGGTGTAAAACTCTATCACACATGATGCAGTGCAGAAAAATAACACCAATCAGAGCAAAACATGCTAAAATATCTCTTTAGCTCCTCCCACTCTCTATACATGTACACGCATTATATGTATGGATTTAGGAACAGTTATAAACAATGCTATTATTATTATTATACATTGTCTCTCTGTTTTTGTCTGTCTTACAGCAAGTGTTTGTTCCTGAAAGTCGACCCACTCCCAAAAATGATGTTGGGATTCGGTTTAACGTCAAGCACAGGCCGTTCCCAGAAGAAGTAGATAAGATTCCCTTTGTGAAAGCCGACCTGAGCATCCCAGACCTCCATGACATTGTGGACAAAGAGGTATGAAAGCCTCAGAATGTTCTGTTATCTTGAGTGTTGTACAGATGTACTATTATATGGTGAAGCCTTCCCGCTAGACCATATCAAATCTGCAATTCACAGAAATAGCTGAAGCCAGGGTTCATTTACTTGAAACTAAAACCATTAAAAATTAAACATTTTTGTTAGCCGACACTTTTTCAAATACTGTAATTTTTTTTTTTAATGCATTAAATGTTTTAAATACATGCATACTAACGCTTTTAAGTTTTTAAAAAGTCATATAGACATATTTAGAAAAAAAATACTGAAAATATGCAAATCATTTATAATTGTAACAACATTGCAAGTATACTAAGATACCACTATGTAAAGCGTTTATAATAACTGAATTTAAAATGCATTTGATCTACTTATTCATTAATTTTTCTTGGAAACAGTTCTTAAGTAAATATGCAAACATTCATTCCTGTCATTTTCCTTCAGCTTAGTCCCTTATTTATCAGGGGTTACCACAGTGGAATGAACCACCAACTATTCAAGCATCTGTTTTACACAGCGGATACCCTTCCAGCTGCAACCCAACACTTGGAACACCCATACACTCTCATTCACACTCATACCCTACAGCCAACTTAGCTTATTCAATTCACCTGTACTGCATGTCTTTGGACTATTGGGGAAACCGGAGCACCCGGAGGAAACCCACGCCAACACTTGGAGAACATGCAAACTTCACACAGAAACACCAACTGACCCAGCTGGGGCTAAAACCAGCGACCTAATTGCTGTGAGGCGATCGTGCTACCCACTGCGCTACATATGACGCCTCTTGATCTACTTATAATACTTTTTATAATAATATTTCTGTTCATTTAAATACATTCAAATGTTACAAAGTAAAATGTGTAAACAAATGTTTCATCGGTTGTAAGCAAAATCACCACATATACAGAATTATAATACAAATCTGAAATGTCTAATTTAATATTTAGAGTGCTTTTGAGTAATTAAAACTGAATACTGTTATTATGTAAACGTATGTATGACAATAAAATACACAGTTTAAAACATAAAAGTAAATACATATTTTAACCTTGTTAAAAAGCAAAGGACTTTAGCAACAATAAAAAATATTCATTTATTCAAATTCTTTAAAGTAAACAAATATTCAAAAGTACTAGCAAATTAAAAATCCTTATAGCTAGCAATAAAAAGCATATTAATAGTGCAGCATGAAATATAAATAAGGTGGCTATCGATAATTATCTTACGTTTTTTGTGCATTTATATCGAAAACATTTTGGCATTTTATTTGTCATGCACAGCACAAATGCAGTAAAATGTTTACACGACCACTTGTGACCTTAAAATAATTACAACAACAACAACAACACAAGTAATAGTAATAACAATTAGAATCTAAATTATGGAGACTTAGAAGTTATGCAATAGAAAATAAATGTGAATATAAAATATTTAAAGACTTATACAGGGTTTATACAGTCATGGAAAACCTGGAGAAGTCATGGAAATTTGACAAAAAGAAAGTGTTTTGCAAAAGTCATGGAAAGTTGTTTAACAAAGGTCTGTCTACTTGAATATAGGTTAGTTCTTGTTACTTATTTTCTGTGGCCAAAAACATGCTCTCACATTATCTAAATCCATTTTACATAGATATAAAAATACATTTAAACTAAATAAATTGTTGCGTGTTTTACCGTGTGGTGTAATAAATTTGATTATTATTTACCACGTAGACATTCAAATTTACTTAAAAGTCTTGGAAAAGTTATGTAGTTTTAGTTAAAAATGTGTATAAACCCTGCTTATATTAGAAGATATATTAAAAATGCTTATTATTGCAATATATCATATCTTCGTATTAGTTTGGTGTTACTCTGGTGTGTCTACTTAAATAATACATAATGCATAATGTGTGTATAAAACATCTCAAGACTAAGGTTTATCAGGGGTTGCGCACACAGTGTTCTTATCAGCTGTATTCCTCTTCATTGTGTGTGTGTGTGTGTGTTTCAGCTGGAGCAGCAGCATGATAAGCTGCGAGTGGTGATGGGGAAGCAGATCGATTACGAGACCAAACTAGAGCACCATACTGAGGACCTGTGGAGGAATAAAGCCTTCCCAGACCCACTGACCGACTGTAAACCGCCAGCTCCTGCTCAGGAGTTCCAGACTGCTCGCCTTTTCCTGTCACACTTTGGCTTCCTGTCACTAGAGGCGCTCAAGGTACGAGAGTACATAGAGATATACAGTGGAGGAAATAAGTATTGAAAACGTCACAATTTTTCTCAGTTAACATATTTCTAAAGGTGTTGTTGACTTGATGTTCCCTGGATGTTGGTAACAACAAAATAAATCCATATATGCAAAGAAAACAAATCTAACTAGTTTACAAGCTCTGTGTAATAAAATGAAATGACTCAGGGAAAAAGTATTAAACACATGAAGAAAGGAAGGTGTAGAAAGACATGGAAAGCCCAGACAGCAGCTGAAATCTCTCAGTAGTTCTTCAGCAAGCCTCTGCCCTTCCTCAGTGTAAATGAATATCAGCTGCTTCAGTCCAACATCTACATTAGCAGGTGGATGAAGATCAAACCAGGGTGGACATTTCAGCAAGACAATGATCCAAAACACAGCCAAGGAGACTCTCAGATGCTTTCAGAGAAAGAAAATCAAGCTGTAGAATGGCCCAGCCAATCACCTGACCCGAATCCAATAGAGAATACAGAATAAAGCTCAGATCTGATAGACGAGACCCACAGAAGCATCAAGATTTAGACACTCTGTCTGAATAATTCGCCAAATGCCTTTTATATAAAGTATTAAATACGTTTCAGTAGTTCTCCTTGTTTCTCCTGTATGTTTGTATTGTTTGGGTTTTCACCAAAATCTTGTTCAATTCCATGTCAACAGAAATATTAATCCCAGGTAAACCTTACCTATTCAATACTTACTTCCCCCGCCGTATATTGCTTATGCCAATTATTTTTGAGTAGCGCAAACAAACAAAAAATATGACATTCATTCATTCATTCATTTTCTTGTCGGCTTAGTCCCTTTTTTAACCCGGGGTCGCCACAGCGGAATGAACCGCCAACTTATCCAGCAAGTTTTTACGCAGTGGCATCTCTGGGAAACATTCACATACACTCATACACTACGGACAATTTAGCCTGTACCGCATGTGTTTGGACTGTGGGGGAAACCGGAGCACCCTGAGGAAACCCACGCGAACGGAGGGAGAACATGCAAACTCCACACAGAAACGCCAACTGAGCCGAGGTTCGAACCAGCGACCTTCTTGCTGTGAGGTGACAGCACTACCTACTGCGCCACTGCCTTGCCCAAAAATATGACAATGATCCTTAATTATTTGATGATAATGGAAGCTGAATGTATAATTCAGGAGGTGTGCACAGTCAAAAATAGTCTGCAAGTCATTTTTTACGAGACGGGCTGCGTCCGAAACTGCCTACTACTCAGTAGGTACTGCATTTGAATTTAAACGTACTGCTCAGCCGGTAAAAAAGTGTGTTCTATACAGTATGAATTTGAAAAGTATGAATGGAATTCGGACGTACTACATCCGACATTTTGTCATGGTCACGTGACCTTCCTGCGTCAGTTGTGTCGCTTCACTCTCATTCATGAATTTTCTCGAGGGCATTATGGGATAGCGCGGCGTGCGTGGGATGCGCACTTCAGAATCTCGCCGGAAGTAGTAAGTCATGCAGGTATTTCACAGATTTCCGAATTCTATGACATACTACCCGGCTCGCATACTGATTTTAGCGTACTATATAGTATGGAAGTATGCGGTTTCAAACACAGCCAAACAGTCCCTAAATAAATATGCAAACATTCATTCCTCTCATTTTCCTTCAGCTTAGTCCCTTATTTATCAGGGGTCGCCACAGTGGAATGAACCGCCAACTATTCAAGCATGTGTTTTACACAGCAGATACCCTTCCAGCCACAACCCAGCACTGGGAAACTCCCATACACACACATTCATACACTATAGTCAATTTAGTTCATCAATTCCCCTATAGTGTGTTTGGACTGTTGGGGAAACCGGAGCACCCTGAGGAAACCCACGCCAACATGGGGAGAACATGCAAACTCCACACAGAAACGCCAGCTTGCCCTGGGAGTCGAACCTGCGACCTTCTTGCTGTGAGGCAACAGTGCTAACCACTGAGCAGCCGTGCTGTCCTGCATGCCAATATTGTTTTAGATAATCCTTGATAAAATTTATGTTTGTTATCCAGAACTGATGTTTGTTTGTTTTGGGGTTTTATTACCCTGTGATTGTAGAATCACCCATAAAGATCATTATATCTTTGGGAAGTCCTCATAAAGCATGTTGTGTATCTGTGTGTGTGTGCTCAGGAGCCTGGAAACAGTCGTCTTCCTCCTCACCTCATCGCTCTGGACTCTTCAGTGCCGGGTTTTTTCGATGATGTGGGATATCTGGACCTGCTGCCGTCCCGGCCGTGTGACACCGTCTTCATCTTCTACATGAGAGCAGGACAGAAGAGCAGCCAGGAGGTCAGAAGACCACAATCAGTAACACTGCATGAGCATCAATGAGTGTGTGTGTGTGTGTGTGTGTGTGTGTGTGTGTGTGTGTGTGTGTGTGTGTGTGTGTGTGTGTGTGTGTGTGTGTGTGTGTGTGTGTGTGTGTGTGTGTGTGTGTGTGTGTGTGTGCGCGCTGCTGATGGAGGATTAATAAACATATAAAATATCATAATCATAACACACACACATACTTATAAACATTCACTCACAAACACTCAAACACACACACACACACATACAATGATACACAAACACGCATTCACACAAACAAACACACAAAGACATGCATCCAATCACATAGTCATTCTTACATATAAACACAAAATACAATTACACACTCACACACAAACATATACATAAATACACACAGTCACAAATAAACACACACATGCATACAATCGCACACATACATATTTGTAATGCACACAAACACACATGCATATGATTGCACACTCACTCACATGCATACACACACACTCACACACATACAAACTCTCACTCATTCACACATACACTCAAACACACACACACACACACACACATGCATACAATCACACACATACATATGAACTCACACAAACAGTGACGCTAGCAAACACGCATACAATCACACACTCACGCACATAAATAAAGACATACACTCACTCATGTACACACACACACACAGACATACATACAATCACACACAAATAATCACACATATATACATACAATTACACACACACACACAAACATATACATATATACACACAGTCACAAATAAACACACACATGCATACAATCACACACATACATATACGTAATGCACACAAACACACATGCATATGATTGCACACTCACTCAGATGCATACACACACACATACAAACTCTCACTCATTCACACATACACTCAAACACACACACACACACAAACACACACATGCATACAATCACACACATACATATGAACTCACACAAACAGTGACGCTAGCAAACACGCATACAATCACACACTCACGCACATAAATAAAGACATACACTCACTCATGTACACACACACACACAGACATACATACAATCACACACAAATAATCACACATATATACATACAATTACACACACATACATATAAATTCACACACACACACACACACTCACGTAGAAAAAGACACTTGCTCACACACATACATTAACAACAGACGTTAATGAAACTTGATGCTCATCAATGATTGTAATGTGTTAATGTGAATAATGTGTGCGTGTGTGTGTGTGTGTGGCCAGATCTTGAAGAACGTGGAGTCCTCCGCAAACGTGCAGCCACATTTCCTGGAGCTGCTGCTGTCACTGGGCTGGCCCGTGGAGGTCGCTCAGCATCCAGGCTGGACGGGTAGTGTGTTCACCAGCTGGACCATCAACACATCCAACGGCGCTGACACACCAGGTACACACACACACACACACACACACACACACACACACTTGCATACATACATACATACAAAGGCACACTCAGACTCGCATACATACGTACATACACACACACACACACACACACACACACACACAAACGTATATATCCACATATACACATGCGTACGCACACAGTCATACACACACATATTGTACATACATCCACACACACATTCATACATATACATACAACACACTTGCATGCATGCATACATACACACACTCACATACACACACACATACACACATTTTCTTTTCAGCTTAGTCCCTTTTTTAATCTGAGGTCACCACATGGGAATGATCCGCCAACTTATCCAGCATATGTTTTACACAGCGGATGCCCTTCCAGTTGCAACACATTACTGGGAAACACCCATACACTCTCATTCACACACATACACAACAGCCAATTAAGCTTACCTTATCCCCCTATAGCACATGTCTTTAGACTTGTGGGGGAAACGAGCACCTGGTGAAACTCACGCATATGTTTTACACATACCAGCTGCAACCTATCACTGGGAAACACCCATACACCCTCATTTACACACATACACTACGGACAATTTTAGCTCACTCAATTCCCCAATAGTGCATGTGTTTGGACTTGTGGGGGAAACCTGAGCACCCAGAAGAAACCCACACCAACACAGGGAGAACATGCAAACTCCACACAGAACGGACCCAGAACTCGAACCAGCAACCTTTTTGCTGTGAGGTGACTGTGCCACCATGATGCCTACATATATACATATACACATAAATACACACACTCGCATGCATACATGGACACTAACATACATACATACAAACTCACACTCAAATACACACATCCAAACAATTGTACAACTGTCCTAATAAGTAATGGTCCTCCATCTTTATAAGTTAATTAATATCTTAATAATAGTCGCATGTTAAAAGTCTTCTCATAGTGATAAACTGTCAGTGACCCGCACAGTGATGCAGTGTTGTGTAATGATGTATATGTGTGTGTGTGTGTGTGTGTGTGTGTGCAGATGACTCTGTGACTCTGGGTGACACTGGCGGTGGTGTGTTTAACGGAGAGAAGCAGGTTCTCTATTACGCAGACGCTCTGACAGAAATCGCATTTGTGGTGCCGTCTCTCAGCGACTCCTCTGGTAAAAACTTTCTGCATTCAACACATTGCAGTAGTGCTGGGCAAAGATTAATCATGCTTAAATGCCCCTTTTTACAAGATGTAAAAATAAGTTTCTGACGTCCCTAGAGAGAGAGAGTGTGTGTGTGTGTGTGTGTGTGTGTGTGTGTGTCAGCTGAGAATAGCACACAGATAATGTTTTATAACTCTCTGAAACTGAGCCTTTTAGGCTTTGATCCTAGTTTTGTTGACTGTTGCTTTAAATGCAAATGAGATTGTGCTCTTTTTCAGAAGAGGGCGGAGCTACAGACGTAAACGTGTGTCAGTATAGTGGCAGATTGAAAACCAAACTTATTATATTCGTGGGAAAGAAGTGAAAACGTTGGCATCAATATGTTAACAATGTTTTAATACTTAACCACGGCAAAGCCCCTATAAAGAAATCTTATATCTATATGCAAATCACTTATTTACATTCATGTTTTGGGTTTTACAGATATATATTTTAAAAAGTCATACATGCACATGTTTCACATACACTCACCGGCCATTTTATTAGGTACACCTTACTAGTACCGGATGGACCCTCTTTTGCCTTCAGATCTGAATCAATACTTTGTGACGGATTCAACAAGCTACTGGAAATATTCCTCAGAGATTTTGCTCCATTTTGTCGTGATAGCAACACACAGTTGCTGCAGATTTGTCGGCTGCACATCCATGATGCCAAACTCCCGTTCCACCACATCCCGAAAGTGCTCTATTGGATTGAGCTCTGGTGACTGTGGAGGCCATTTAAGTACCGTAAACTCATTGTCATGTACAAGAAACCAGTCTGAGATGATTGAGCTTCATGACATGCTGCGTTATCCTGCTGGAAGTAGCCATCAGAAGATGGAGACACTGTGCTCATAAAGGGATGGACATGGTCAGCAGCAATACTCAGGTAGGCTGTGGCGTTGATGCTCAATTGGTACTGATGGACCCAAAGAAAATCTCCCCCACACCATTACACCACCACCACCAGCCTGAACCGCTGATACAAGACAGGATGGAGCCATGCTTTCATGTTGTTAAGGCCAAATTCTGAGCCGAGCATCTGAATGTGTCAGCAGAAATGGAGACTCATCAGAGCAGCAACGCTTCTCCAATCTTCTATTGTCCAGTTTTGGTGAGTCTGTGTGAATTGTAGCCTCAGTTTCCTGTTCTTAGCTGACAGGAGCGGCACCCGGTGTGCTCTTCTGCTGCTGTAGCCCATCCGCCTCAAGGTTGGACGTGTTGTGTGTTCAGAGATGCTCTTCTGCAGAGCTCGGTTGTAGCGAGTGCTTATTTGAGTTACTGTTGCCTTTCTATCAGCTGGAACCAGTCTGGCCATTCTCCTCTGACCTCAACAAGGCATTTGCGCCCACAGAACTGCCGCTCACTGGATATTTCCTATATGTCGGAGCATTCTCTGTAAACCCTAGAGATGGTTGTGCGTGAAAATCCCAGTAGATCAGCAGTTTCTGAAATACTCAGAGCAGCCCGTCTGGCAGCAACAACCATGCCACATTCAAAGTCACTTAAATCCCCTTTCTTCCCCATTCTGTTGCTCACTAACATTAACGAGCAGTTGTACCTAATAAAGTGGCCGGTAAGTGTATGCAAATTAGTTATTTAAGTTCATGTTTGTATTTTACAGATATATAAAAAAGTCAGATATGCACGTTTAACATATATAATAAAGGCAAATATTGCAAAATGGCAGTTCACAATCATTTTTAATCATTAGAATTACAAACAAGCACATATATGTTCAAATATATTAATCATAATATTATATAGACAATATTTTTATATTTAACCATATATTAGATTTATTTTTGAGCTCCAAAATGGGCAATTAATCATCAACACACCAAATTAGGGCCTAACAATTGCAATGAAATCTTTGTGATCATGACAGCCCTACATATTTAACCACTCATTATGTTTGTGGTTCAACAGAAAAGTGCATGTATTGCAGAAAAGCTTCTTCCAGGACTATTCTTGCTGTATTGATTTTTCTGTTAGTGTAATGCATTTAAACTGGTTTAATGAATCGTTATTGATTTCTTTAATATGACGGATGCTGGTTTGTGTGTGATGCAGCGGAGTCATCAGAGCACAGCTTCCCCACCGCAGACTCCGACTCTCAGATGGAGCTGCTGCCCAGTTTACTCAAACAACCCAACCTCACGCTGGAGCTCTTCCCAAACCACTCTGACAACATGGGCCCTGCGCAACGGGTAACACACACACACACACCCTATTGTACATGAGTTGCAAGTAGAAACAACAAATTATATGAAGTGAATTCATTAGTAAATGAAAATATAGATGTGATCAGGTTGTACATAATGAGATGAAATCGTTACTTTAAAGGGTCACGAAACACCAAAACACAAGTGTTGAGCTGTTGACAGTGGTATATGTGTCCCACACTGCTAAAAACACTATTAGGACACCTATATTTCACTAAAAAGTGTAAATTGGTTGTTTTTGCGTTATTTCAAGCAAATTCGTACTTCCGGTTTGAAACGAATTTTTGAAGCTGCGTCACGGTCATGACATAATAGCGTGTATTCCAGCGTGCAGACTGGACGCCTGTGCCAGAGTGTGTCTTATTACGTCTTACAGTGTGCTGCATTAATGCATGAGTAAGGCTTGGTTCAAACCAATCAGCGCACTCTATTGTGCAACTTCATTAATATTCATTACTGGCACAGTGTTTAGACGACAGAGACGCCACGTTGTGTTGGCAAAACAAGCGTGAAGTGTTGCTTTTATAGTTTGCTGCAGTTCAGTTTTGTTTTCATTTTCTCTCTGTAAGAGCTCAGACTCACGCGTGGATTAACAGTGTACGCGACGCTCGACAACAATAACTTACATGTCTAAGGAGGATTATTGTTTACCTGAGAGCTGTTCTCATCTGCAAACGCTGAGATCCGGATTCGCTTTAGTCTCCTCTAAATAAAGACGCGGCTCTAGTTGCTGGTGATTGTCCTGTCTCTACAGATTTGGTAAGTGAGCGACCAGTGCTCTTTGTTTATTCAGTTTGTTCGTATCGAACTAAGTTAACTATTGCACCGAGTGTAAACATGTCAGCACCACAACTAAACTTTAACCTCGTGTAGGATTTTCACCGCATTTAGTGACTGGAATAACACACGCGGCTTTCTGACGCTACCTGCCGTGTGCATCTAAGAGTTTGGGACATGCGGAGGGTTTTCTTCACTCATTCGCCGTGCGGTATCAAACATTGCATGAAAAATATACACTTAGAGCAGATCCTCGAATCAAATATCTCGTTTGTCGAGAGGGGCATGAATGAATTCCTTGAATGAAAGAGCCAAACTGCAGTTAAAGTCCACCATTTAATAATTTGGCAAATAATTCGACTACAGATGTCCATGTAGGTTAAACACCATCACCTTCTACTGTGTGTGTGTGTGTGTGTGTGTGTGTGTGTGTGTGTGTGTGTGTGTGTATTTTGACTCTGAAGCTCGCACATGCCCAAATAGACACTCCCACACCATCCCACTATTCTTACTCTGACACTCCCCCCTAAACAGAGCTGAACACGCCCACTTTTCTGACTTTTTCCAAAGTAGAGGCGTGAAAACACCCTGCTGAAACGAGGGGGTTTCATGGCCCTTTAAATTCTAGTAATATTTGACTTAGGCCCCGTTTACACTAGTGCGTTTTAGTTTGAAAACGCATAAGTTTTGCTACGGTTACGCCAACCGTCCACACTATGCCGGGGTTCTCGAGCGCCGAAAACGGAGCGTTTCGAAAACGCTGGAGAGGCCGTTTTCATTCTAAAACGCAGCTGCTCCGTCTCAGTGTGGATGATGGAAAACGGAGACGTCTGAAAACGGAGGCGGGGCTGCTGACATTCGCCTCTCTGATTGGGGCTTTTCCTGAATATTAAGTAGCCTAACACACACAGTTCAGTCCTGAATCTTCTCCGTGTAAGTTCAGACATCGCAAGTTTGATCAAGGCTGCATCTCTTCTTCTCAGTTTGATATGGAAAACATACTGAGGACACGGGTAAATCTTCACAGGGAACAGTGTACTTTATAACTTCATTCACATCACCTAGGCTACGTTGTTTCACTTTCTCAACAATAAAATGTAAACTTGATATAAGGAACTGCCTATTTTCATTTTAATATTAACAACTAAACAGACAGCAGAAATGTTGAGGCGTCGTGCTGCATATATGAGCGTCATCTTCACTGTGTGAATATTTATAACAAAACGGAGCCGATAACAACTGCCTCCTTTCAATTTCAGTGAAAATACGAAACACACCCTCTCTTTTGCTGAATATCAGTTTTAATAATCGATTATTATAAAAGTATAACATACAATAAGTTTATACATTATAGGAAATAAAGGCAAGCGATCTGTCAATATACAGAATGTAGGCTACGTGGTTACATTAATCATTAACTTATCTTTGTGCTCAGCCAAAACACGTTATCTGAGAACAAGTAATAGATTCCAATGACCAAAGTCAGGGAATATGTCGTTAGATAAAGACAACAAGATGAATGAAATATCACGTTTAATAAATATAGTGAGATTAGATCCATCGGGAGATGCTTGATGAGAAGTCCGACTAGCAGAGCTCTCATCTGGGTAGACAGGCTCCAGCGATTGCCAAAGTGTGTGTGTGTGGTCACGTGATGTGCGTTTTCAGCGTTTTGGTGTGAACGGAGAGCAGTTCAGAAACGCTGGGTAAAACGCGAGTGTGGACGCGGATCGTTTTCATTCTACAACGCCGTTTTAAAACTAAAACGCACTAGTGTAAACGGGGCCTTAATTTATAAGCAGCAAAATAGACTTATTACAAAAAACTGTACGCAAGAGTGAAATAATTATTCAATTGAATGTTTATTATTTTCATTACAGTGTATAATGTTTATGTCCTGTGTTCAGTCGCCCACAGCGAAAAACAAGAAGTTGCCGCCCGGAAGGACGATACCGCCGCTGGGACCCGACACCAAAGTGTTGGTGGTGTGGGTTGAGCGATACGACGACATTGGTACACGTTTGTTTTGCAAGAAAATACTGTGCATTACTTGCCATTTATTATCATAAGTTGTGCATTTTATTACCCGTTTCTAAGTGGCTTTTATATTAGTTTTATGTGTTAACGCATTTTATTGTTGTTCTATTTTGCAGAAAACTTCCCTGTGTCAGAGTTACTAGCAGAGACGAGCACCGGTGTGGAGACGGCCGTCAATAGCAGCGCATCCAGGTAATAGAAGAGCTTTTATTTTATGGCTGGGAGTCAATTGCAAAGAGAATTCTCTTTATAATAACTATCCGTTATAACTAGTTAATAGATCATTAAAGAGCCCATATTATACATGAAATAAGGTCATATCTTGGTTGTAAGGGTCTCCAACAACAGTCTAATATGCATGCAAGGTCAAAAAACACTTTGATGGTCTTATAATCTGCATTTATTTTTACCTAATTATCCCATTGACTCCCGTATGAATCGTCCAGTGATTCATTTGTTCCCAAACCCCTCCTTAGCGCGAAGCTAATCTGCGCTGATTGGACCGATGACAGTCTGTCGCGATTGGTCGACTGCCTTCAGTCAGAGAGTGAAATGCCAAACAGCTAATCAGCAATATAAAAGTAATGACAGTTCATACACGCTCGATAGTGTAGGCGTGGATTTTAGCTGCCAGTGGGTCAATGTAAATACAGACAATGGACTTGAAAATACAGACGACTGACTATTTTATTGAGCAAAAACTCCAAAAACAGTTGAGGAGATCTCCTAGCTTCTCACTCTGCTCTTTTCACAGACACACACACACACACATATTGCACACACACACACACGCACTTAACCCTGCTCCGGACGACAACGCGCGCGCGCGTTAGCTCCGTTAACAAAGCAGCACGCGTCGCGTTTTTAACGTGACTTTGCACGCGATAAGAGAATATAGCCAGTTAACCTGATACAGTACACGCGGTTACAAGTAACAAATCACAACTAAATACATTTGCAAGCTCGAGTAAACGAGGCAACTTTAATCGCACGTACTTACACTTGAGAAATGGAGGAAGAAAAATCCATCCTGACGTCCAGCAGTAAGTTACTCTTTACTGATCCTTCCTTTAACAAATGCTGATGAAGTATTCTTTGTAGCATGTAGCTTCCAGAAGTTTCCAGTAGTTTCCAACTGCTTGGCTATAATGCTGAGGTTTTATCTTTGGGTAGAGACTCGATATATCCATCTGCAGTGTGACTTCAATCGACCGGCATGTTTGTGTGTGTGTGTGTGTTTGTGGGTGTGTGTGTGTGTGTGTGTTTGTGGGTGTGTGTGTGTGTGTCTGGGTTTCTGCGTCAGAGGGCGGGGCCTCAGGTTTGAAATCTCCCGGGTTTGTGCGTGCACGTGAATAACTTGGTTTCGTTCGTACGTCATGGCGAAACACCTAATGACTCGGTATCAAGGCGACTCGTTTGAAGCACTATGAGTCGACTCTTTTATAGATGAATCAACAGTTTTAAACACTGTATTCTTACAGATTTAAGCCTTAGCTGGATACTTCACTTCACTTAGAGCTGTGTTACACACTACATGGAGGGGAATTTTCAAAAACCCATAATATGGGCTCTTTAATAAACTGTTAATGTGTTATAAATGACTTGTTAAATAAAAGTTAATAGTTTGTTAATTTATATTTATAACTGCGCCTTATTGATAGCCAATAGGTAACTTGCAAGTTATAAATGAATTGTTAACTGTATTGTTACGATTTATAACTATACCTAATAAATTAGTAATAGATCATGAGCAAGCGGTTAGTAAATTACTTAATAAAGACTTGTTAAGTGTCAGTTAATAGTTTATATATGTTATTTGGACGTTATTCTAAAGTTACAACTGTTCTTCATTTATTAAAGGCCATGAAACCGCCTTGTTTCAGCAGGGTGTTTTCACACCTCTACTTTGGAAATAATCAGGAAAGTGGACATGTCCAGCTCTGTTTAGGGGGGGGGGGGGTGTCCGTAAAAATTTGCATAAAAATGGGAGTGTCGGTTTGGGCATGCGCTGATTTTCACAGAGGCAAAACAAACACACAGACGCAAAGGAGAAAGACAGTGACTGTGTTTACATGGACATCAGTAATCAAATTATTTGCCAAATTATTAAACGGTGGACTTTAACTGCAGTTTGGCACTTTCATTCAGGAATTTCATTCATGCCCCTCATGACAAACGAGATATTTGATTCGAGGAACTGCTCTAAGCGTGTATTTTTCATGCAATGTTTGTTACCGCACGGCGAATGAGTGAAAAAACCCTCTGCATTTCTCTGTAACTTAGATGCACTCGGCAGGTAGCGTCAGAAAGCCATGTGTGTTATTCCGGTCACAAAATGCACCGAAAATCCTCCACGACAGTAAGTTTGATTGCGGTGTACATGTTTACACTCGGAGAGCAGCATGTACAGCAGATTTTTCAGTCTATAATATTGTACTGATGTTAACGTACTGTAAACTTTATTAACTTAGAAATCATTTGACTAAGGTCTGTCTTTAAACCATAGACTGTATGGACGTAGTATCCGTGACGTCACCCATAGGTGTCTAAAGAGCGCAAAAGAAGCCACAAGTAGGCGCGGCCAACCGTCGCCATTTTGTTTGAGCGTCATCACACCCACGGCGGGATACCAAACAAGGGCAAAGAGGCGGAGAGTGGGCGGAGCTACAGACACCTGCTGGCATTTAGCTTGGACCTGGTTCAGACACACTTTACTTTGGGATGCTTAATACTTTATCACCTGCGACTCGTTTGTATTCTGACCACTTGTGCTTGGTTGTTCACTATATCAATAAAGTGTTTAGCCTTTTAAAAATACTGCTGTAATACACTGAGCCACTAAACATTGTTCTTATGACGTTTTTCAACAGGAGGAAAACGCGAATTACTTCCAAACACTTCAGATACAGTCTGTGTTAGTTAATGCAGGACTATTGATGAAATCCAGCATAACACTGTATGACAACGCTTCAGATGACTGATCTAGAGCCCACAGCTAATCAATCTGACAGATTCTGGAGTGCATTACAGCCCCAAATATAAATGATAAATGAAAATGATCTTAAATAAAACAAATACATGTATAGAGATGGTATATAAGTATATAACTTTACTCACATGGGAAACGGAGGCCACGTGAATGGTTTGTGAGCACAATTAAGTGCACTCAGCATGCCATGCCATCTAATAATTGTAGGAAACAAGTCCAAAAGGCAACTGACTGTGTAAAGCCACAGAAAACAACACAGAAATACGATAAATATGCCGAGTTCAGTGGCTAATCTGCAGGATTCAGCTGAGGTGACGTGACGGCGACCAACGAGACCTAGCTGTCACTCAAGTGGCCACGCCCTTAATTATGCAAACTTAATATAACTTAATATAAAGTAAACGGGTGAGTAATAAAAAATTCACCCCCTCACAGTTGTCATGAAGGGTAATATTAGCTGTAGTAACCAAAATCTTTGTTTGTACCAGGCTGTAAACACCTTTTTTTCTGCTGTAAAGTTGGCCATTCTAACAGTGGGCTCAATTGAAATGTGCGCTATTATGGAGCCAGGAGCGGCCAGGACTGGCGGAATTTTGGATGAATTGCAGTTTTAGTTACTTCCGTATTGGCTTCCTGAAAGAGACCGGGAGGTTGCCGCTTGCTTTAAACACTGAAAGAGTACTGCTGACGATACGAACTAACATTGCCATCTGACTAAACAAACAAAGGCCACTGCTCACTTAGCAAATCTGTAGAGACAGGACAATCAACACCAACTGGAGCTGCATCTTTATTAAAAGGAGACGAGCAGCAAATCCTGATTTCACTATTTCCAGATGCGAAAAGCTCTCAGGTAAAAAAATGTTCCTTAGACTTGTATTTCTGTCGCGTGCACTGTAATCCACACCAGAGTCCAGCTGCGCTCTCATAGCAGGAAAATGAAAACAAAACCTTTACTGCAGCACATTATAAACGCAACACACTCCCGCTTGGCAACACAACGTGGCGTCTCTCTGCTGTCTGAACACTGTAACAGGTAGAAACATCTTCGAAGCTATCATGCATATTAATGAGTTTGCACGGCATACACAATAGAGCGTGCTGATTGGTTTGAACCGTGCCTTACTCATGCATTAATGCAGCACACTCAGACGTAATAAGGCACTCCCAGATACAGACGTCCAGTCTACATGCTGGAATACACGCTAAGATCTCATGACCGTGACGCAGCTTCAAAAGTTAGTTTCAAACCGGAAGAACAAATATGCTCTAGATAATGCAAAAACAACCAATTTACACTTTATAGGGAGATATACGTTTCCCAATAGTGTTTTTAGCTGTGTGGGACACATATATGACTGTCAACAGCTCAACACATGTGTGTTGGTGTTTCGTGACCCTTTGAGTGTTAGTAAATGAAGAATAGTTGCAACTTTAGAATAACATCCCAATAACATACGTAAGCTAATAACTAACACTTAACTAATATATTAACTCACACTTTACAGATTAGTTCTTCGTAGTTTGTTTACCTTCTACTAATACCAGCGAAACAGCAAATGGATGGAACAAGTTCCAGCAACAGAAATGTTTTTTTAAGTGACGTCACATTGAAGATTCCTTCAGTTCATTATTGGTTGATCTGTCATTCCGCCTCACAAATGCTCTCCTTCAGGTCCAGCTCCTCAGAGAAGGACGTCCCCATAGTGTTCATCCATCCACTGAAAACCGGCCTGTTCCGCATCAAACTGCAGGGCGCTCTGGGAAAATTCAACATGGTCATTCCTCTGGTGGACAACATGGTGGTCAGCAGGAGATCACTGGGTATGTGTGTGTGTGTGTGCCATCTTAATGTGAGCGCTTTAATGGTGAAATATATGCACACTTGTGTCAGAGCACGGTGTTTAGTGATTATTCATATTAACCCTCATTTGTGTAATAAACAAACAAGTTTAGAATCAAAAGACACGAGAAAGAGAAACCATATCAGAGCCGCACTACTCTTAAAGTGACAGCGTGCGATACTCCTGCTGCTGCCGACTGTTTTCATTATTAATCAATAGTAAAATCAAAAACACAGTGAAGATGCTTAAAGCTCAGTTTAAACATGACAGATGTAATAACTCATCTTTAATAACTGATTTCTTTTATCTTTGCTATGATGACAGCACATTATATTTTACTAGATATTTTTCAAGATACTAGTATTCAGCTTAAAGTGACATTCAAGGGCTTAATAAGGCTAAATAGGCAAGTCATTGTATAACAGTAGTTTCTTCTGCAGACAATCAAACATATATATTGCTTTAGGGGCCTAGTAATATCGAGCTATTGAAATAGATTTCAAAATATTCAAACCTGCTTTTATTATAGCTAAAACAAAACAAATAATCCTTTCTCCAGAAGAAAAAAATATTATAGGAAATACTATAAAAAAAAACCTCTGTTAAACATCATTTGGGAAATATTTATATATAAAAATAAATTTACAGCAGGGCGAATCATTTTGACTTCAACTGATAATCGTTTTGAATAATCGTGATTACAATTATGACCAAAATAATCGTGATTATGATTTCTCC